CTCTAGGGTAGAGGTGGCCGCTTCCTCGGTTATCCTTTCTACTTGGTTCCACGTATGATGCCGGGTTATCTTCAGAGGCTTTACAACAGTCCGCCATCAGGTCCGCTGGGCTCCTATGGCCCTCGGCCTCGTCCCTAGGGCTCGCCTGGATTCCCTGACCTCACCATCACCGAAGTGGTCTGTCAGTCGGGGAACCTTGATGCACGGAGAAGATGCCGGTTCATCCATCGTCTGGATCCATTGCCAGCTATATGCAGCTTTCCCGGGAGTTGGACTAGGATAGTCCTCGCTTTGACCTCCCGTATGGTGGACGTCGCCTGCAGGGAACAACGACGTCGCACCCCCAAGGTTCCACCCTTGGTCGCCTGTTGAACCGGTAGACTCCTCTGCGTCGTACGTGCTGCCCCAAAGGGGTATTTGCAGTGGCTTGGACACAGCAGGTACCGTCAGCACGAGGGACTTGGCTGATGGGGTTCATTGCTAGTTAAAGCAGCGGAAATCCCGTGTACGCTGTTAAAGAGCTGAGTTCGAGGGTCCCCCTCCTGCTTTTATACAGGTATTGGGCGGAGGGGACAGGCGCGAGTAGCCCCGTCGATCCTGGGCTTCGTTCCTGGTCGTGCCTGGACTCTTGATCCGTTGATCGAGAACCCGTTCTGGGTTCTTGATCGAATGATCGAGAGTTGCTTCCGGATCCTCGATCGTTCGATCGAGTTCCGTTCCGCATTGGTATGGCCTCGAGTTGCTAGTCGGGTCCGACCCTTTCGTGCCCGACCCTCGGGGTTCATTGCCCGGTGGGCAGGTGGTAATCCCCTGATACACCGTTATTATTTTGCGACTTCCTTCATGGTATGAGATGAATGCGATATATTGTCACAAGTATCTACAGATACAACATAAGCGTGAATATTCGTGTCATAAGGCGCACCATGATAAACCCCAGCCGACGAAGTAGAATCGCAGAGTCCTACGCCGGCATCTCTTTTATTTCCTCAATCTCTGTTGAGCTAGCGAGGTCTTCTTCCTCTATTTCTGCTAGAACGGCTCGGAGACGGGTTGCAAAAGTCGATGGCTTTTTCTTCGGGAATTTCAGCCACTTCGACTTGTCGGGTGGGCACTTATTGTCCCGCCCCTGGTGTCCGGTGTGTCCGCACCGGAAACATCGCTTTTCTCTTTTGAGACGATCGATGTCCATAGGTTCGCCTTCACCGCCGTAGGTGAATCCAGTGGCGTCCCTCTTGCCCTTCGAGCCACTCGAAGAGCCCCCCGCTGTTCCGGGCTTGGAACCAGCGGTCCCAGCTGGGATACTTCCCGCCTTGGGCGAGATGAACTCGGTAGTTCTCAGTCCATCTGTAGGACTCTGCGCCTCCACTCCCAGTAGGTGGTAGGTCGCATATTATCTCCGCCCATAATGATCTCCTTGACCCTGGGTCGGATTGCAAGGGCGACGACTTCCTCCATTTCCTCGTCATTGTGGAAGCGTTCAGCTTCCACAGCCAGTTGCTCGAATCTCTCGAAGAATTCGAATGGCCGTTTTAAACTGCCTTTGTTGCAGTTTTTTCCATTGCATCCGCTTGATTTGGACCTCTGCTACTTCTCGGAAACGTGTTCGGACGTTTTCCTGGAAGGTCTCCCAAGTGGGAACGCGATGTCTTCCACTGTGTGGGTCCTTGTAGTGTCGTTGCTGATGGACCCACCAGGTCATCGCTTCTCCACCAAGTTGGTGGCCTGCGAAGACTACTCGACTCGGGCCATACCCATATGCTTCATTAAGCGCGAAGTACTGGGCAAAGACTTCGAAGTAGTATTCGCAGTGACTGAAGAAGCGATCTAAATCGCTGGCCTTCCCATAGAATTTGTCGGGGACTTCTATTAATGTCGGCTTCACATTTCCCCAGGGGTTAGCTTGTCCATCGGGAATGACCCATCCACCCGGCGGGTCAGGTGGCAGAGGGGGATTGGTAGGGTCGTGGTAGTGATCAGAGATTTTGATTACTACGTGGTGATGGTGGTTGTGCTGGCGGTCGAGGTGGTGCGGGTGGGGGTCCTCCTCCACCACCTCCTCCTGGACCACCGCTGCCCCCGCCAGGAATCGTAGGTGCTGGTCCACCTGTTTTCCCTGTCGGTGCTGACTGGGAGGCTTCTCCAGCCATGCTTCGAGCATGGAAGGTTCCTCCTCCTGCTTCCAGCCCCAGGGCATCAGAAGGTACCCAGGTAACGTCCGGGATGGGGGTTTTCTGGCCCTACGATGCTCAAGTCAGGAAATGACTCTTCTCCTGTAGCGCCTCCCTGGTGCTACGGGTTGGTCAGGGTGTATTTGGTTCCAGTCGATAGCGGCATGATACCATGTTCAGTACTGCAGTATCTTGTCCTCTAGTGCGGAACCCAATTCTGCAGCATTATATGCTTGTCCTTGATCAGACGTGGTCCAATTTTCATTGTACCGTAGTCGTCTGCTGGTCCATTCTAACATTTGCTGCCATGTTAGATCATATATTTGTCGGTCCGTGAGCTCCTGTGCTTGAGCCCTGGATGAACTCGGGTGGGTCATAGGAGGGGCTCCTACTGGGGGGCCGACTGGCTCCATCCTCCTCGAGTCGCTGGTCGATGACCATTCCGGTTCGGGTCCAGGGATCTGACCTGTTGTCATGATCGGGTGGGAAACCGATGATCTGGTATCGAGAGAATATCTCGTATCCTGCATCCCAGTCATCGTTCCAGTCCCATACCCCCCTGGCGTATCTGTAGTACTCATTCCAGATCTCCAGGGCATCTTCACATCTCCAGACCCAGGGCCATAGGTTTCGGAGTGGGAGGAAGCCGTAGTATCCATCGGGTAGGAACCCTCCTTCTGGGGCAAGGAGGGCCTCGAGCTCGATGGAGGGTTCTGCTCCCTCGTACTCGTCGGCAGCCAAGGTCCTGAGAGGTCGGCAGATGGAACAATTGCAATAGGGGTATGGATGGGGGGCCTGGTCAAGCTCCCTCGGGACACGGTTCAGGGAGGACGATAGGGTCCGGAAAGGGTTGGTCTCCGGCAAACCAGTCAAGGATCCTGTCTCCCTCAGGGGTGTCCCCTGGGAAGATGACCCACTGTCCCTGGCCAAACTGGGGATCCAGAGTAGGCGTAGTACTCTGGGAGCTCCTCATTATTACTGTCGGAGTACTCGGTGAAGACGATGTTTTCGGCTCGTCCGAGTATGACGTCGTCGGGTCCGTCTTCAACGGCGTCATTAGTGGAAGTTTCTGAGATGTGGGCAAAATGTGGCTCTGCGAAATCTCTGAGGTCGGCGATGGTGATGATTGTTCGGGGTAGGACTTCGGATTCGGGGCGGGGGGAAGACCAAACGAAGTCTGACTCATGGACGGACTCATCGTCCCACCAGGACGGGGGTCCGTCGACTCTGTAGGTTCCATCGGGGGTGTATGACGCGAAAGAGGTTGGAGCGTCATGCCACTCCGGCTCGGGAGATTCATCTCTTCGATGTCCTCCTGCGTCGGATATTCCCCATACTTCCCCTCGTTCCCGGGCAGGGAGGAACGGGTTTTCACCTTCTTCGAAGGTGGCTTCTTCGCCTGGTTCAGTCCGTGGACGATTCGGTCGAATACGTCACGGTAGAACTCGCTCGTTCCTCTCTGGTAGAGACGTTCTCCGTCGTCATCGAGCCCTGGGACGGCTGTGGATAATTCTGTGGAGGTGACGGATGGCTCTTTGGAGTCATTGTCAGTCGCCCCATGTCGTGTCAGTCCCAGGATCCGTCCGTGTTGGTCCAGTACTCGGCGGTAAATCTGGGGTCGACTCGGTCGTCTCCATCGTCTGGAGGGATGCCGAGTCGTCCGAGCTCTTCTTCCTGAAGGGATTCTTCGCCTTCACCGTCTCGGTGATCCTCTCCCTGAAGCTGGAGCGTGGGGGGTTGCTCTTCTCCGTCGGGTAAGGGGTGTCGAAATGTGTTTCGCTCCCCCCTTGACCGTGGTGTGAGGGACCGAAGTCGGACGGTGCTTGTTGTTCGCGAGGTTCCTGTTGATGAGCCATTGAGCCCGTGTATTCTCCCTCTTCCGGGGGTCGGTGCTCTTTGGCGGCGGGTTGGTCGGGTAAAATGGATAACTGCGATTGCAGTTAATAGTATCAAGGTACTGAAGGTACTTCCGAAGATAATGGCAGGTGCGGTCTGAGGGGGTGAGCGGCATAAAGCTCGTTGTACCACAACAAACGTTTATGATCTCGGGGAGCGATGGGTGCCGTTTTCAAATAACGGGCTGAAGGTTTCTTTTTCTTTGGAAGTATAACAGTGACTGCCTTCGATGCGGTACAGTTACCGTTGATGGTAAGGGTAGTAAGGGCAAGCTTCGGCTAATTGTTAAGCACTAACTCGAACCTTCGCCAAGGCTGACCTCTATCCTGTCACTCGCGTTCGGTGATTCAGTGTTAGAGAGGCGTTGGTAGATTGCGAGAAGTTAGGCGTCACTTATAGCGAAAGCGAGGAGCTTGTAAGAGTTAGGAGTATATAACCTTAGCCGAAGCTGGGGTCTAAGGCCACAGCGTAGGCTAGCTTAAATACATGTTAGACTCGTACTAAGAATAGTATCTACGGGGGCGCATGCAGCGAGAAGTGCGTTATTCAACAAATGAGGAGTGAGGACACTAAAAGAAGTGTACTCCCGACGAATGAGAGTAAAGAGCGCATATCACCTGCACCTGCACGGGACTCCGTCTGAATGGGCTGCATCCCGTAGACCGCCCTCGACTAGCGGTCGACTCTTGTCCAACTACTAAGAAGCATGATGCCATCAGGAGAAGCATGATGGTGCATGCGGGTTGCTGGTCACTTGAGAGGCGGCAGCGTGAACTGGGGTGACGGCAGCCGGGTAATCGGGTGATGAGTGTGCCGGTGGAATATCTTGGGTCCAGGAGATAAGATAGGTAGGTCCGGGGTTCTGAGAGATAAGGATAAGATAAGATAAGGAAAATAGGGGTAAAACCATAATACAATCCCAATCTTATGCCTGAAGAGATTGCTGATGATCTGCAAAAATGGCTGGATGATCAGCCAGGTGATAAGATGAATCTGCTCTTGGATATTGCAGGTATGAGATTATACTCCTCTTACATTTGAGTTCATCCTTCTGACTCAGAAATTCAAGGTCTTGATCCCTCTCAAGATACTCCTGTTGAGATTCTGCATACCATCCTGCTCAGTGTCATAAAATATGTATGGCATCATTTCAATATGCAGCAGTGGTCTGATCACAACTGAGAACTATTTGCTATTCATCTCCAGTTGACCGATATCAAGGGACTTACAGTTCCTCCCATACAAGCATCCTACATGACACAGTATCACAATAATCTTATCAGCAAGCACTTCAAGACCCTCATGCAAACCATGGTCTTTCATGTTCATGACATCACCACTCCTGAGCAATTTGCTCTCATCAGAGCAGTTGGTGCTTTGGGTGCTCTTCTCTGGATTCCTGAAATCAATAACATGGACCAGTTTCTTGTGAGTCTGAAATCCATTGGTTGCTCCTCAAATTGATAATTAAATAGGATGACCTCGAAATCCTCATCAGAAATGTCTTGGATGTATTTGGTGATGCTGAACCATCACAGATCCTTGTCAAGATAAAGCTTCATCTTCTCCCTCATTTGATCAAAGATATCTGTCAATTTGGTCTTGCTATTCACAATTCAACTGAGGTTTTCGAAGGATTCAATATGGTCTTTCATCTATGCTCTATTTTTAGCAACCACCAGGCTCCAAGTCATGACATTGCTTACAAATTTGCATCCATGGATGGGGTCAAGCATTTGCTGAGTGGAGGTTATTACTGGTCAGAAAGCAAGAAGGCTTGGGTACAAGCAGGAGAGTCAGTCTTAAAGATCTTGCATTCTGTGCAGATCATTCAGCATCACTTAGGCTGGGTGCCTCCCCCTAAGATTCAGCCAGGTACCATACTTGTTCTCTCTTATATTATGCATCTATTCATTAGCTCCAAGGTCTCATCCATCCAAAATCAAAGAGAAAATACCCATCTCTGCACTGGGACTCAACACATGCATCTGTATATCCATTTTTCCAGTTCCTCCCTGAGTCATTAGACATTGTTCTACTATCTCTGGACAGTCTATGGAGACCAGGTGAATCCATTCAAGCAATGAACAGAGATCGAGTTATACTGGGATTGTGGGTATTTGCACACAATCTTACAGTAAGCAAACATATCTTTCAGTCATCCTTGGCTCACATCATGTGCTATAGGGAAAAATTGTTACTGACCATATCTGTGAACTTCTAGTGAGCGAGGATGATGAGTCAAAATCCAGTGTGAAATCTTCAACTTGGGATTAACTCACGACTATTGAAACATTTGTCTGTGGGGAAGTGCTGCATCCAGATTATGGGTTTCCAATTCTTAGATGCCCAACTGGCAGTGAAATTGTCGATGGTATCCTCTCATATACCGTATTCAATCCAGATATAAGCAGCTCCTATTTTTAATTCTGACAAAGGTGACTCAATGTTGTATTCACAGGGAATTCTGTTTGCATTCTCTGCTCAGCATGACTGTCACCTAGCACAGTGTATGGCTTCTTCATTGAAGGCCCAAGTACAGGAATGACAGATCACAGATTACATTGATAATCTCATTTCTCACTCAGACAATGATAACTTTGTTATCAACATGTGTGGTCTTCATAATGCCATGGAGCTGCGAAGATTCCTTCCATGACATCTTATCCAACCTGTCCCAATGTATGCCAACCAAGAAAGCCATCACCATCAAGTCACAATACAACTACAAGAAAACCAGGCCACAAAACGGAAGAAGACCAGCAAGAAAAGGAAAGCTACAAATGCTGTCAAAAAGGCAAAGAAAGTTACAGCAGCCAGGGATCGGTGACATGTGTGCAATGTGTTCATACATGTAATTTTGTGAATCCTGTGAATCCAAATGTGTGTCAATCCACTAAGTAATATTAGAGTGCATACCCAGCATGAAGCGACACCTGTTGAGGCAGAAGCAGCATATAATAAAATAATCCAAGTGGAGCGCATGGCTTAGACTTAGAGCAGCACACTGGTGTCACTTAAGTGTGAAGTCTCAGTGCCCTGACTCACACCCTATGCATCCCTCAGCAGTATCTCGCTCAAATAAAATACACTGAGAAGATAATATATTTACGGAGCTTCACACAACATTGACCTATGATGCGCAAACCCTGCCGATCCAGCAATCACTGAGAAATGTCATTCAGAGCTGAGGACCAGTCTGAGCCTCCTGAAAGGGCTTCAGCTGACACGAGAGAAACCCTGTACCCAGAATGAAATATGGAACTAAGAAAAGGTTGTGCAGCAACCAAACAAAAATACCAGCTCACTAGCAATGTGTGCAACAGAGGAATTAAAAACAAAGGGGCCAATTAGGAGAAATATTCCACATGATGTGGCAACTCTAGACCTTGTCAAGAAGAAAGAGCAGCATGTTACAAGCACTAACTCAGGCAACTGGCTCAGAATATTAATTAGTGACCATGCATTTGATGTGTCACAGAGGGGAAATGACTCTGGGGTGGGGTGTATCTATTCTCAATTATTTCTATTTATACATTTAGCTGTAAATAAAAGCGTGGGAGTTAGGAGTAGGTAGCAAGCTTTCGGACCCCTGCAGTTGTGACACAAAGCAGAGAGCCTAGTGTGCAACCAAAGGACTTGTGTTTGTAGCTTTGAGCGAGAGAATATTATTGGATCTAGAACTATTCTGAATGCTTGCGAAGGTCGCAAGGTATGCCTTGCTTGCGCATGACTGCATAGCTTTGTTCTGAACTGTAATTGAGTGCACTCAACTCAGAGGAATATTGTGTTGTGATAACTTGAATGTGCTGTTGTGTCTTTGGGACGTGTTTGTGATTTTTGAGTTATTGCAAGTAGCAGAGGTTCAAATCCTTTGGCTTGTCAATAATCTTTGAGGGTTTTTGGTTTATTCCCAGGTGGCATAGGTTCAAATCCTGTGGCTTGTGGATGTGTTTCTGTGTTTCTGTGTCTCTGGATCGCATAGGTTTGAACCCTGTGGATCTACAAAAAGTTTCTGAAGTGTTTCTGCTTAGAGCACGAGGCTCTAAGTTGTGTTTAGTTTGTTTGATGGGTTGTGGCCATCTGTGTGTCATGCACAATGTCATTTGAGGGTTGTACATTCTTGTGGGACATTTGTGGGCTTGCAGAGTATTACTTTTGCCTTGAGACCAAGCGATACATATTGCTCACCTCCTGTCCTAAAAGCATTTGGACTTAGAGAATTCTTTTGAGCTAGCGTACTATTATATCTTGACAAGCGCAAGAGATCTTTTAATTCTATTGTTATTGTGTGCTTGTATCGCACATCTCCCCCAAACTACTGAGATTTTGTGTGTGTGTGAGTGTGAGAGTAGGTGTGTTTAGTGTTTCAATGCTATTGCATTTCAAGCTTGGCATGCACAGAGCCTCTTCATTGGGAACAAGGATTAACAGATGAAGAACTTGATGAAATCGAGCACAATGACCCTGAGATATCAGAAGAAGGCATGTTAGAAATGGAAGAGCAGGCCAAGAAGCATAAATGTAGAATGACGGGAAGGTCATGAAATCTTGACAGTGATCATAAACTTGCAGTAATATACTTAGTCACCTACTCTTCCCAGATATTTGCTGATTACAACATTGAGCTTTAACCCAGTCAGCTTGACTGTATTTATTTAGTATTTATGATCCCAGATACATTTGAAATACACTATACTTTATATGTATCAGAAGCTAAACTGAAGGTTCACCATCTCCACTTGCAATGTGAGAGCAACAAGAACGGCATCCATGTTTAACAAAGCCAGAAGAAGCCTATAACCGGAATTCAGTATCAAGTCAAGAGCAGCACAGATATTATGATGTATGCACCATAAGTGGATCGAAAACCCTCTCAATAGCTGAGTATGACCATTTGACTGATGTGGCAGAATTTGCGGTTGCAGCTGAATCATTGGTTACTTGTGCCTTTGCTTTTGCAATGTCAGTAAGCTGCACCATCTTGGCTCTTTGGAGTGCTTGCGCTTCAGCATATTTAGCCTGGGCCTGTTGACATGAAGCATATTCAGGAAGGAAGAAGACTCAGAGGAAAGAAATAACACACTTCCAAGACTCCCTGATTCAACGTCAAAAAGTCATCCTGCAAGTCAGGAATAAGATCATCATCTTCAACCCCAAATCTATCATGCTGCACTTCAAGAAAGTCACAGCAAAATCCAGAGTATGAGGGAGTGGGCCACTTGAATTTTCCTGTCCACTGCCTCACCAGAGTTCCAACAAGCCTGACCTCACAGGTGCGGTTCCAGTCACCAGGGTTTTTGATCCACTTTGTGTAGTATGGGTCACAAGTCTGGCTTTCAGAATCATCGATGGAATGGCCAGGGCTTTTGTCATCCTCCAAATCAGTGGCTGTTGTGCTTGTATTTGAGCATGTGAGAGTCACAATGTTTTCTGAAGGCTGAGCCAGCACCGCAATTTTCAAGATCACTGTCTAAACACAAAGATGAGTTTGACAGTATTAAGGCTATTATAGATTGGAATGAGAAATCACTGACATACTCCCCAGGACTTAATCCACTGATATTGACTGTGACATTACCGCCACTTGCTGTGACTCCAGATTGAGTGCTCAAGATGTTGACAGACATGATGGTTGCATAAAAGAAAGCAGAGTGAAGCATTACCAGAAAACATGCATTGGCAGAGTTTGTTCGACGACATCAGAAGAGAGTTGCTAGAGTTGAGTGAGCATGATGTAGATGAAACATTGACTAGATGTAACGCTGCTGTCAGTGTGACATCACAACCAGTTCATCACCCTGATGTCAAACATCATTCATTCTCAAGTCAGTAAAAAATTGTCTATTGACATCTAGACTGCAATCTCTAGCTGACCTCTCGTCAGGTTGGTGGTGTAGTATCATTTTGGAGAAAAAATTGAAGGGTACTAGGTGGTGCACAGCCACTTAATTGCCTAAAAGAGATGCCGATTTTATGGCCGTAAGGCCATACATATTACATCACGCTACATAAGCCACACTGCAAACCAGAAGTCTGATGGTACAGCAACCATATTCGCTGCTATACAGAGACAGTGGGCATCCCTACTGAGTCGCTCTCAAGGTTTTGACTTGTCTTTTCCAGCTACATTTGCAGGATTCAGGAACTCAGCAAAGCGAACTTATGCCAATGAAACCCCGAGCCGCAAATTTCGATTATTCATGGAGCAGAATTCCCCAGGTCTGATGTCTTTTATATACCAAGGAGGTGGCCAATATCAAAAGCTTATATTGATCTCTAGGATGAAACGGATTGTGGGGATCATCATTTTGTTTCCATTCTCTCATGACAGGAACACACCACCGAATGCTCAAGAGATCCATTAGGCTTGAAAATGAGTCTACTAGCTGCATTCTCAGGATTTGTCCACCTGGTGCACAGAAGTAAACGAGCAAAAAATCTTCCTTGTATTGTCTGTTCTATCTGTTTCCAAAGCTTTTGCAGATACCGAGTCCTGACTTGAGTCGTCTCAGCAATCACCAGCATCTGGCATTCAATAAAAGACTAGTTGGGTGAGGGCCAGCTCATCCGGTGGCAAAACCGAGTCCTATTTTTATCACACTGATTCTGGACATCGTCAGTACATGAAGGCATTGGGCAACTTCCCAGTTGGACCCTTACACATGTTCACATCATCGAAAGAGCCCTCCCCAGAGATGAAGCACACTGACCCAGGTATGTCCATATCCCAGTTTGTTTCTTAACACAACCATTTCGCACACACACTATTTGACGGCATTGAACCAGGGACTCAGAGGGAACTCACCCTTTGGACATGTTACATCAGTAGTAGCTAGCAGTCTTTCATTAATCCTCTCATCAAGCTAACAAATCAAATGTGTGCACTGAGATCAATGGAGCACCCTATGCCATGATCCCACCATTCTCCTCCCCCAGCAGAACGAGGCTGATCTGGATGGTCAAGGGAGATGGTCATTCTTCCAGAGGGCAAGTGACCAGTACAGAGGCCTGCTCTTCTGAAATGATCTGCAAATCATGCTATGTATTGGGTCTGTAGCGGGACTGAGACACATGTCATCGAGAGCGAGTGGTGGTCATCGACATCCGGAGATGCAGGATAGGATTCCGTTTATTTGCCCAACCATGAACTGTAATCTTCATAGCAATCTACATATCAGATGGCATGGGGACAGTCATATCAGCACAGACAGGCTTCAAGGAATAGATCTCTAAATATCACATCTCTGAAAGACGACATGTTTATAGTCTAGATGCAAAGTGAGGATATGGTTCATTCTGAGACGTGATTGACATAGCAGCGAACACCTGAGGGTTTGCCTGCCATTTGGCCCTCAATGTCACTGCTGGTATGAGTGCACATATAAGGTAGCTGACTCAGTGAGGCCTGCACATACTGTCTGGCTGTTTTGTTACAACACACATTAAATGGCAGTGGGTGTCGGAACCTACATCCAAGTCGAAGAGCAAGAAGTAGCTTTGAGTTTCGACTATGCACCTCATACTCTACAGGGCAAGGGCAGGGTGTCAATGAAGCCGCAGAAACACGGATCAGCACTTTGGAGACTCTTTTCCATCGAAGACAGTAGTGCTGAGGTGAAGAGGCTGAGCATCAATGTGAGTGATAGAGAACAGAAAATATAACATACTCAGTTAAGAGATATCCAGCTGAGCTCTGGCTTGCCAGGATTATTGATGTCGAACGTAGCTGTCATTCGGGTCAAGGGTCATACCAGCCAAGATCATGTGTACAACTGACATGAACGCTAATGCCAATAGTCTTGAATTCTGCCAGCTGGAGACATAGATAAAGGGGAGGTGCAATGCATCTGGTATTAGGATGATATTATCCGAGCATAAGGAGAAAAGGATCTATGGAGGGAGGAACACATCAGCTAGAGAAAGGGAGAACGAATACATTTAAATACCAGCCTTTTACTGAACAAGATAGACAGGCAGGTAGTGTTATACGGCAGTGTCCACAAGGAATGTTAATGACTTAGAGGAATTACAACCTCTAAACATCACGAGGTATATCCTGCCCTGGCTTCATCAGATTGGAACAACCCTTCTCCAGCTTCAGAGTGCTACATTGAAGAATGGAAATGACACACCGTCCACAAAGCCTGCCGTCATTTCTTGTGCATTGCAAGTTTGATTTTTAGAGATCACCAGGTAACAATGCTGGGCTTCCGTTCAGTTAAGTACTATCATCTGATAGCTGAGCTATTGATTTTGAGGCGACGAATTGCATCAAGAAACACAATGATGGCAAGTGCGGGAGGATACGGGGCAGTCGAGAAAAACAGGCATAGCCCAGTAAAGACCATGCACGAATAGAAAAAAATCCCACAGGATGAACCCAGACCGAGACTGATGATTGGCAAACGCCGTGCACGAATAGAAAATTCCCAGCCGGCAATCACCGAGAGCAATTGATTTCACGAATAGATTTTCCCACGGGCCTTTCCCAACTGCATAATGACCGATTACCTATATTCATAGGACTCGGAAAAAACCGCCACTGTGCCTCCTTATGACCGGACTTAAAATTCCTTGCTAAGCGCAAATAAATGAAACAAGAACCAGAGATGGCCGTGCTCGAGCATTCCCCAGTCATCAAGCGGAGGCGTTTTGAGATTTTGATGATCACTTCGGTAACTCCAGTGATCTGGTATAAATACTAAAGAAGCTCTCTTGATCTCTATCAACACCACCCATCATGTCTCCTGATATTGCTTCGACTATGGGGGCGATCTACATAGGCGCTACAGTGGCTACAGCGTGTGTTATTACGGTCCTCTACCTTCGGCCTCTAGGCTTACGATAATTTTCCCCCACAGGCTTTGGGGAGTCACAGCCATACAGTCAACGACCTATTTCAGCAGATTCCCGAATGACTGGTGGTTCTATCGTTTCTCAGTACGGCATCTTTGCTTTTACTCATCTCATAATTTGATTTTTTAACCAAATAGGTTGGCCTTCTCTGGTACGTCGATTTGTAAGGTCACCCGGGTATCCCTGCATAATGCGTTTTCCAGGATCGTTGACACCCTTTATCTCACATTCTATGCGCATGCTCTGTACTACTATCTGATCAAAAACTTCGGGCATCCCGAAGCACTTTTGACTATTGTGTGGTATGCTCTCCGCCTCTTCTTCTTGCCCCCGATTTTGACTTGGAGGATATTCAAGGAGCTTTAAGGTGATCAACTACGCGCCTATCAGACTATTTGATCGACTGATGCGTTCTTTATCAGACAGACATTATGTTCTTGGTACTTATACTGATTCGTTCTGGACACTGTTCCCTGTTCGCTGACTTGGTTCGTTCAGGGCCTAGAGATCCTTCTCGTAGATATGTACGGGTCTCTCATCGTCCATGTAGCCGGCGCTAACCACTTCGTTATAGTGTTTATGCGGTGAGAATATGGATGTGTGCGTGCGCCCATCATCAAGTTACTTACAGAATGGTACTATAACTCAGCTTTCTTTCTAGTGGGACGTTTCTTCCATAAGACAATCCCATGGCTGGTTGTGGGTCACAACATCCTAATTTGTATGGAACTTCAATTCTGATCGAGGTTCGTTCAGGCTGTTGTCATCGCAGGCACATCCGGTAGGTCTCCTTCAGTTTATCATGATATGTGTGTCTTACTGCTATGGTTCGGTAGCTGTAGTTATCAGTGAGTCATTCCTTGCAGGATACATACTTAGTACTTATCACCGTTTTCATGGAAGATGAAATCCACACTATGTAAGGCCCCTCATCTGCTTGGTCATACTAGCGTACTCAATCTTGCGACTGAACAGATTTACGATCAAAACTTACCTTGACGCTGAGACGGTCTCTGTGCGGAAATCCATGCCGTTATTATCTCTTTCAACCCGCTGAAAAAATGATGCAGAAATCGATTGAAGCGCTCTTGGCTACAACTGCAGGAGTGGACATCATCATATGCGGTACCATGTCATATTACCTCCTCAAAAGTCGATCAGTTTCGAACTTTTTCAGGTTGGTCCGCTCTCGTCTAAGGTTCGTGGAATGCTTACAATCCATGCAGGACGACGAAACCGCTTCTTATATCATCGCGCTTTGTTATTGTGTCCGGATTGGCTACTACGTTAGTCCTTGCCATATTATTTCTAAAACCCAGACTGACGACCGCCCAGTATATGCGCATTGACGATTCTTATCATGGTTCTTACACTTTCTTCATGTCATGAATCCGACCGACCTGACCTGACGACACCATAGTTTGTGTCTATGCCGAACTCACTCGTAGCTGCGGGAATCGCGACTCCTCTACCAAGAGGTATTCCTTCCAGTTAAACGTGGGCGTCTGTCCTTACTAACACTTTCAAGTTTATCTCAACTCACTACTAGCAATGTGCGTAACTCTGTTTTGATGCGCACCATGACTTACCCTTGCCTAGGCTAAACCTACGAAATACTCACCAAGAAAATATCGTGATATCTACGAGCGGCGGTGGCAGCAGGTCCCTACCAAGTACGGTTTTGGAATCTATGAGATTCAAAGCTCGGAGTACGGCGGCTACTGATACACAAACTCAGGAGCAGGTGGATACCAGTTCCCAATCTTTCGGCCGGAAATGGGAGCCTCATAACTTCTTTATAGGACATCAGTGTATCAATGGCCGAGCTACGCTCCAGTAGATCGTCAGCGGAACCGATGCGTGTACCAGATATAAAGGCTCGGACTCTGGATAGTCCTTGTTAGGTTCGAATGCCCCATGCAGAAATCGGGATCTTGTCGATGTACAACAGGTATTAACCTAGTCAGAAATGAAACAGCCAGAAATTCGAAGTTTTCCTTTCTGTCGACTGAGGCTTTTGACACCATCCTTTGGAGGCTATTCTCCGTCTTCATTCAGACCGATTGCGCGACCTACCTAGTACTAAGAAATTACCTCTGGGTTATCGCCCGTGGTTTCAGGGTACTCTGGTTTGCCTGTCACGTTCACATTCAGTTAATGGAAACATACATTTCGGGAAGTGGGAGGAACCATGGAGCCCGAGATATGTACTCCTTCGTATCTGATGCAACACTCCCAGTGGTCAACAAACACCCAGTAAGAACTGACCCTAGCATGAAGTAAATCTCGCCAGGTATTATGGAGCGCCTTCCTCCAACCCCAAAGAAAGTTTGTAGCTGTACAGAAGAAATGAATGAGAATTTATCAAAATGGAAGGTTCAGTATACGCACGTAGTCGTGACATCATCCTGCTCGAGTCCCGTAAGGTTCCACGGGATACCATTTGCACCAGAAACTGTTGCCGCCCTATCACATCTTAATCAGAACAACCAGAACCAATTACACCGCAGCGTACTCACCTCATATACATCGTCATATTGAGCAAATCCAAATACTTCAGCGGGACGATTTCGAGCGAAGCCAGTGCCCCCTGGGTAAGCAACACGTTCTGTATGGTACCAGAATCCGCACGGCCGAAGAAGGGTATGACAAGGGGCTGAGTGAAATTGTGGTCCAAAGCGGCGTATTCGGTATTATTCACACCGGCGGAGGCGACGATACGGTCGAGAGTGAGTTCGGCAGGAATGAAATTGGTGACTAGGCGGGTGTTACAGGATGGAGAGGAAGAATGAGGGAAGGCATACCGGTGAACGAGACGCTGCATCGAGAGGTGATGAATAAGGACTGAGGACGAAAGGAGACGACGTACTCGACAAGATTATTGACAAGAGATTTCAGCTACTTGAACGTCAGTTACGTTCCACAGGGTGCAGTGAAAGAACGTACACTAATGTCGACAGTGATATTAGAGATGGGACCGATGCTCAGCCCGTCGACAAGGTCTTCTGTCGACGACGTTGGAGTGCCAGAGACCAAGGCGACCAGAGCGAAGAAGAAGGAGCCGAACAACATTGGACACGGACGGGGAAGGCTTGCATTGGAAACATCCAAGTTATAGGGTCGAACGGCGCAATTATTCTGCAAACGTGAAGCTGTGAAGATTCAGCGGAAGAAGAGAACGACAAGCATGTGGCCATCTCGGAATAACGAGGAGACTAGCGGGAGAGCAGATATTGCTTTTTGTAGGCGGAACGTTGATGTGATCTCCCGTCCATCAATGATGTCCCCAGTCGGCAAGTCTCGTCCTTGCCCAAGGTAGCATACTAGGAGACCAGGCAACATTGGACGCGGACGGAGGAAGCTGTAGTTGAACATATCACAATCAGAGGGAGCAGCCACCTCTGACTGCAGATAGTTGTCTAGCGCTGATCAGGAGGCGGGAATGATTGAGAAAGAGACCCAATGTTGATCTACTTTTTATTAGTCGCATCGAAAACTGACGAGATTCGGGATTGCCCGGGGTGGTCAAGCCGATTGAAATTTCTTTGTGCTCCCTGGATTTTGCCTGTTATCAGTTGTTACCACCCAACGTACAAGACGGAGCCTATACGATCAAGAAAAGAAGATATCTTGATCAGATGGCGCGACTGCATGTGACCGCGCAATATAGTGAGAGTCTAAAGAAAAGCTGATGGTTAATATTTTAGCATAACATATCATGTTCGGCAAATCCATATGCATTGCAGGGTTGGGTATGTATGTGTAGCGCTGACCAAAATGGCAATAAGGATAGCTATGTGTGATGTAAACGTTTCGTGCCAGACGAAGGAGAGTCATCCAGTCTCCTCTTCCTCGACGGACAGGGTGTAGTAGTAAGTTGTTCAAAAGAGGGAGGTGTCTGCTCAAAAGATATGGAATGAGATGGCGCGACAGGTGTACGTAGCTCCTCGTCGTCCAACGGTCTGGCTGACGTGGATATAGGCACAGGTACAGTGCTGCCTGGCTTCCGGCTGAGACGACCGCGGACAGTCGAATCATCTGCACTGTTGGTGGAGGTTTCCTCGTCTTCCTCCGTAAATAGGCCTTTGACAGGCGACCTGGACCGTTCGCCGGTGCGAGAAGGAGATGCATAGTACGACGTCAGGAACGCGGATAATGACGCTGACGATACACGGACTGTGTCTTCTGCGGAGCCGATGGTGGCGTTCGTGATGGAAGCGAGAGCAGGTGGCGAGGGCGATGCAGGAGGGCGGTCATTCGAGGTGGTCGTCGTCGTTGTTTCCTTTGTCGCCACTCGCTTCATCACCTATACTTGTTCTAGTTATAAAATTCAACTTCATATGGAACATTAAACGTACCTGTATACGCTTCTTCAGCGATACTGGCGTCCACTGCAGCCCATCGAGAGGAAAGAACTCGGAAGTCACGGTCGCAAATGAGCGTAACAGCACCTGCCATTGCTCCTGCAAGCCCATTAGTCGTGCATGATATCCATTCCAGAAAATGACACGTACTTCCGTCATTCTCAACGCCTCTACATCCTCCATCCTCTGTTCATTCTCAATTTCCAAGAGCCTCTGTTTGCGTTGTGCCGCCCGGGAAAGTCCACCCGCGTCCATAGGTGAAGTCATTTTTGTTGGAGTAAATAGGCTGTCAAGTAGGAATGTGCAATTATCGAAAGCAAAAACGACGGGAGCAAAAGAGAGGGAGAAGGGAATAGTAGTGGTGGTAAAAGTTGGACCCTGATAATTGTACCCGAACTTTGCCTCCGAAATCACGCGGCGCCGCTTTGGGTGTAATTGTGGCACAAAACTTTATTTTGTCCCCTTCGCTTCCAAACGGGGATCTGGCCAGGAGCGACTCGGACGGTCTCGTCGGATGGTTCTTTCTCTACGTGTCGCAGGGAATAACCTTGTCCTTCTTGGTGCACATGGAAATTTTATGAAGAGGATTCCCCGCGGTGGCAGCTGCGCCCCTCAAGCTCATCGCCTGCAAGCACCCTAGAATTCGTTTGTCGACGGATTTGCAAATAATGATGAGCGGGAGCGTTCAATACTACTCTTGCCATTGTCAATTGATGGTTATCAACGCCATACTTGGCATTCCGAGCCGGTGGCTACCGCACGAAGCTCGGACATCAAGCAACGTCAAGGGTAGTAACAAACGACCCCCTGGAGCTTGGCAGCTTGTTATTAACGTCGGTGAAGTGGGGTCGCGGCTTTTTCTTGTTCCAATGCTAATGATGGTCTAAATTGGTGACTTGTCGCCATTTACACATTTGAAGGATGCAGAGCTTGGAAGCTTCATAACAACCCTGCCTCCGGACGCTTAGGAATTTTACTGGTAACCAGGTATAGGTTGATAAGAAGCCCAATTCATAGGCGCAAGGGAAGTTCACTCACAGGAACGCCTTCAAGTTCGCTATGCCAGTGAACCGAAATACATATTCGTGTCTAGCCATGCCAACAGGTTTGAGAGGCAAAACGTCCAATATTTGGAGACGATCTGTGCAGCGAAAAGCAAGTTGCCGGTGACACGAGGCTTTTCGCCCCAATTCTCTGTGACGCAGTGCCAGAACAAGGATACGCGTGGTCTTCGGGCTCTAGATACTCGATAGGCTTTCAGAGAGCAGAACTGAGTATAGGCTATAGTGACGCTCCCGTTCAACATATCTTCAGACCGCCTCTTCGAAAGCAGTAGAATCTTCCCCAGAACGAGAGGAATAACAAGGTCATGCATTCATGGGGCTAGTAGTTTGGTCAACAAAGCTGTGCCAGAGAAAGAGTTTGATGATTAAGGGGATCCAGGCAGTGCAGAGCCTGGTATGTCTTCGACAGCCTGAAGAGGTTTTACTATCAGCTTCATTCTTATCCTCAGCTTTCGAGCGCCGTAAAACTAAAAGGGGGCTTAGTTCCATTCCTTTGTTACATAATGTAAGGTTTTGCATACCATTTCCTGATAGCCCTTTTAAGGAAGATAACAGCTTCACGTTAAAACAGAACCTTTTAAGGTTGCATTTTTACGAGCTAAAGCGAACTGCTAGCAGAATCTAATGAATCTAATCTAAAGGATGGCGAGCACTCTAAAGGAAGCAAGCGGCGAAAAGAATTCCAAGGAATTGGGTACTCCTGGCAGATGAAAGCGGGTAGTCAGAAATAAGTTGGTTTAAGAGGGAACAGACAGAGATGGAGACAAAAAGTTAGAACGCGAATAGAAGTTGATCTAACTTCTCTAAGTTGAACGCATTGAGGTCACCCACGTGATGAACGCGACGGTTGAAATTTGAAATCAAACTTATTCGGCTCTTGAAGTCGCTCTCATCACCACGACGCGACTTTCCCTGCTACTTGACTCTGTTTATTGTATCTCTCGCTCGCTAACTTCATGATCTCTATGCTGATAATGGCCCACCCTCGACCTTTTTGAGGGCCGGCTTGGCACAGTTTGACATTCTGTCACATCCCGTTGGCATTCCAAGTGAATGGGGGTTATTACGGTTCTTTTGACCTGCGTTCTACTCTTTGAATGCTGGGAAAATTGGTATATTTCTTTCTGTTAAATTCATAAACTGCGCCATCATGATGACGAACACTAGGAAATGGGTCGTTCCAAAAAGAGGAGCGTCTAGCTTCTTTTTCGTTTTTCGACCTTGACATACCCGAAGATGAACAACCTGGTGAGCGAATTTCCTCCTTCCTCGGAGTGCGCATCCCAAGACTGATATTTCCTTTCCTTTTTTGTCAAATGCGTACTTAATCTAAGTATCGACGCCTCCGACACCTCATGATATCAGTGAAAATGGAGGGAGCTACGTTGTACTCAATGATGCCGAGTATACCACAAGAATCTTCGATCTCGTTAGGGGTTTTTTGTCAATATGTCAACCGCTCGTAACTGATCGACTATACCTTACAGGTTCCCTTCACTTCTCCTTATCATACCATATTATAGCTGTTGGTTTTTCACCACCAAACAACCTAGACGTCACATTGAAGCTCTTCGCCGGACCCGACCAATCTTTAAGGATGAAGAGCAAAACCTTGACGGCTTCTGACGGTCTACCCTCGAGGCTGTCTGGCAGGATCCCTGCATGTAGTGCTCCTTGCCATTTGAAACATTCATCGCGGAGTCTGTACCTGAGTGGACGATAGGGACTGAAAAAACGTGTGTCCTTATAAACACGATGCCGGGTCTATTGCGGATGATCGACTAGTCCACCGCGACGATGGGTTCTACAAACGTCGACTGGCCCTCTAAGCACCTGCTCGATGCCGACGATACCGTCACATATAAATCTCTCAACGAAGCCTCTCGTAGTTATCTTCGAGCCGAAGCCGTCTGCAAATCCTGGGGTGAGTTCCTGGTCGTTCTTTGAAGACCAAGTCTGAGTGCACAGGCAATAGGCTTGACTAGTAACGACGTGGCAAGATTAACACCCAAGTTCTGGCGGATCCACCTGGATCCTATCTGGACGTGTAGTGGGCCCGCATTCACGATTATGGCGATCCAATATAATCTGGTCGTGGGCACACTACGAATGTTTTCGAAAGGCAGAAGCGACTTGCGCGCGATCATTGATAATATAATGACGTACAAGGCTCTGTGCATGACTTTCTCCTTGTATTGGGCCTTGAGTACTCATATGTTCACAACTCAGCGGGCTGTTCCTTCTTTCCGAAGTAGGACACGATCTCGACATCGCAAATTTGCGTACCACTGCTACGCTATTGCCTGACGGTGGATTCGAACTTCATACAGCATCTTCTCTGGCAGCCAAGTGCGTGATTTGTGGACGTTTATCACCCAGGCTTCCCTGATATCCTCTACTAGATACATGCCGCCGACTGTACCCGTCCTCGGAAAACCCGCTTTTGGTATCGTTTGGGCAAAACTGATCGTCGATGGTGAGATCACTGGGATCCGTCCTTTCCTTGTCAAGATAAATGATGGCAAAGATATGCATAAGGGCATCTTGGCTCGGTGAGAGATCGCAATTCAACTACACATATCGGGGTCACTGATACCCTTCCCAGAGTCTTACCACGTCGTAACGGATCTGATCCACTTAATCACGCCATTACAACCTTTTATCGCGTCCGTCTTCCCCCTTCTGCGCTGCTCGGGGAACTCGATAGCTCAGTGGACGTCCGGCTCTTGTTATGGCGCGTCGGAATCGGGGCCATAAGTCTATCGGCAATAGCCATAACGTGCTTGAAGGTCGCCAGTAACACCGTGTATCGATACTCTCTGCGCCGTCATGTCGGTGTACCTCGGCTAGTTCCTATCATATCCTTTCGGACACAACAAATCCCGATCTTCACTGCCGTTGCGCAGGCATATGTTCTTGAAGCCTTGTTGAAGACATGCATACAAGGTTTCATGGACGACTCCGCGGGATTTCAGACTCGCCATGCGGTTGCAACGATTTTCAAGGCTGTGGTCGTTGAGTCTGTCCTGAGGACACACTATGATTTATCAGCACGGTGTGGTGCCCAAGGCTTATTTGGCTATAACCAAGTCATCGCTTTCTTCGTGTGTATTATATTTTGCCTCTGCCGCGTATCGTTTATAATAATATAAAAGAGCAACATGCGCGGCATCTCCATTGCCGAAGGTGATGTTCTTGTGTTATCCATTCGTAAGTACTGTCACGGCCACCGAGTGATCTACCTCACGATTTACTATAGGTCTAGCAAGCGAACTGCTTCTTGGACGGTATTCTGTACCCGGAACCCTCGATACGAACAGCCTCCTTGCTCGCCGTATGTTTGTTCCCCCCTCCGTGTGATATGCTCACTGAGTCATCCTTCCAGATGAGTCTGCCATCTTCGATAAATACGCCGCTATGGTCGAAGAACACGGTCATCGGGGAGACCATTATCGTGGTTTCATACTACCACAATCACAAACGATCATAAAGTCAATCGGCCATCGTATGGCATATGATGCCGCTGTTACCCATGGCGTTCCCCGGGCGCTTATAGACGTATATGAATGCTATGCGATCAAACGGGATGTTGGATGGTACGTCGAGGCAGGAATTCTTACTCTAGACCAAGTCGCATCAATGGAGGATCGAGCGATGAAGGCCGCGCTCCCCCATATGAGCGAGTGGGTCGATAGTATGGGCGTATCAGATTACCTTAAGGCGCCCATATTGTCGGAGGATAGGTGGGATAAGTTCGTGGATGGCTTACCCTCCATTGGAGTTGAAGAGAATGGGTCGACTAATGTTGTTTATCAGGCGCGCTTATAGATGACATTAGATGCTTAGAGATCTAATTGTTTACTACACTTTAGAATATATAGAACATAATGGAATATAGGCCCATAGTAATATGATATACAGCCCGGCTTGTAGTTCATCTTCACTATGGAACCTATAGTCGATGCATAAAAAGTGGGATCGGAGAAAGGAAATACTCAGTCTCTAGGTCCCTGAAAATCATGTCAGATAGAGCTGAAGATCAAAAAAGACAGGGTTACAAATCGCACGCCGGACACCAGGGAAATCAGAGCTGATTACTATGTAGCATTCAATACTACTTCGCGTCCGAGCTTCTTGAGTAGAGGAAATTTCCCCTCCATATGAGTCTTATATATCTCCCACTCCGCAGGTCGCGGTCGAAATGTAATTGCCACACGCTCCAATGAATCCATCTTGTAAGAAGCCAGATAGTCATCCAGTCTCGTCCACAGGTCTTCCCAGACCAAAGCGGGGTGCTCAAGTTCAGGTTGTGGTGGTTGAATCTCGAAGAGAATTGAACGAAGAGCGCTGCGTTTGTTTACCATTGACAGGTTGGTGATCCACCATTCGAACATCTGAGACCCCCGACCGAAGACGGTCGGGTCGTACTTCAGAACTCTGACTTCGAGGTTCTGGACACTAGAGACATCAAGCGTCTCTGAAGATGTGTGCGGGAAAACTATAAGCAAAGTGAGTACATGGACGCGCATTATAGAGAGCTTAAACATACCTAGCATGGTATGGTTCACGTGGAGGGATTTGAGTGAAGTACCAAGGAAGACTATATATTCGTTGAGATGCTGTGGAAGGATACGGGTATGATCAGAGAGAGCGATGCTGAGGGTGTGGACATTTCTGAAGGAAAACGGGCACAGACGGGACGAAGTTGTCAGCTTCAGAAAGGTCTCAACGGGAACCGAATTGATCCCATCACCAATATCCAATGATATCGGAGCCGGGACAGGATGGAGGGAATGGTTCAAGTGGCACTCCTCCGTGAAGTTGTTTCCACATCTGAAGCTCGCCCATTGCAAATTCGACGAATTTTGCACAAGCGAGCAAACCTCGCCTATCGCTCTAAAGGTGAAAGACGATAATATGTCGAGAGAGCGGTAAGAGTGGGATTGGAGGCTGGAAACAACAGTATCCGGTAGTTGGGACCAATCTCCACTGCCAAGGGGCAGCTGGTTGAGATTGACAAGGTATTCGACCACTATGAGTGCCCCGTAAACCTTGGGATCATGACCTTGTCTACTTGTGATGTCGATGGATAGAGACTTGAAAAGCAAGGCGAGCATGGGAGACATGGCAATCAGTTCGCGGAGGCGAATGCAGTCGGATTCGTTGGACAATGAGACATGAGAAAATAGATGAACTCTGGTCCTCGGATAAAGGGCTCTGCAAGTCAAGGACGCTCGCAGCAGGGATCGCCTGTCATGACACAGCTCGTCGATAATGCCATCGCAAATTTCCTGAGGTAAGCTCAACGAATCATTGCACTCCGGCATTATAGAAGGAGTCGTGAGGAATCGTCACAAAGGGTGATTAAAATTAAACGTGGCGTACGGCGATGGTCCAGATAATGACCAATGCTCGGATGAGATGACAGTGCGACTGAGCAACCAACAGGCTTGCGTGCCACTTTGGAAGATGACAGTCGGAGGTTGAGAGGGACAAATGATAAAGGCGTCTGAATAGCACAACCCTACCGGTTCCTTCCGGGCAAGGTTTGATGTCATCCAAAGATACTCTGCAAATCAAATGTCCGGTTTAAGTGTATTAATCGCTGCCGAAAACAGTCAGGTATAACGGCATACGGATAACATTAATTAGCTTACCTAGCTCCTGGTGCGTGAGCCTGACACAAAGTCACTCCTTACGGTATACGTCGTACATTTCATGCAGACCACGACCTCGGTGACTAGGGTTCATTTTTGTTATTCGGACTTGCTTGCGTCCTTGTGAACCGTATGTTAATACTGCACTCACTAAGTGCAAACTTCTGGGACCAGGGCGTCGGGGAATGATGACGATAATTACAATTCAGGCTTACCGTAACTGCAGCGTCGATTTTCTCGTAGTTTGGGGTCGGTGGGCCAGTGAGGAAAAGGAAGTCGATATGGATGGATCGCCCTTACGTAGATGTGCAATGAAGCGGACAACTGTATGTCCAACTAATACACGTCCGTCACTCCGTGGACATGTAATGGACGTTTACCGATGAGCTCCTTATACATATACTTAAGCTCGTAGCATTGTTCGCCACCCCTAGTATACCAGGGTAACTGTGTCTCCAGTTCAATCATCGAATATTCAAGAACAGATAGGGCACTGACCTCTTTGATGCCTGGACAATCATGGAACGAAGACGACGATAAGTCGATGATCTTATACGAACCATCAGCCGTGCGGACGATATTTCGTGGTTCAAGGTCGCAGTGCTCAATTCCGATCCTATGAAGAGCACTGATCATATTGAAGATCTGAACCCTGCATGATATTTAGTAACCTCATTGTGCGCGCGAAGCATTGGATTGACTTACTTGTCACGTTGCGCCATAGATGTCCAATCTTGAGGATCAAGCGCCATTCCTTCGCAGTCCAGGACTAATAACAGCATGTGCTGCGACTCGAACAGCCCATAGCACCGAGGCACTACAGCTCCTATCTTCCCGTTCTTCCTAGCTTGCTCAATTACGCGATAGGCGCTGGATTCATTATACATGCGTTTGAGGGCGCCTTCCTCCTCTTCACGCTCACCCTTGCGTACCACCTTCAGAGCATACGACTGTGAATCCGTTGTCTCATCGTTTCCACTGGCATCACGTTTTGCCTCATATACAACACCCGTACTACCGTGGCCCAGCAAACGTTGCAGGCGGAGTTGGACAGGTCCTTGACCTAAAGACAGATACGGACCGCTTTTATCGACACTGGAGAACGAGAACCATTTGGTAACTGGAGCTTGGCGTTGCGTCCAACTGATCTGATAGCAATGTTCTAGCCACAAAATCAAGATGAATCAGTAACCATCTCACCATGATATCGGCGGATTGGTTTGGTTGATTTTCTGAATCTTTATTGCTCTGAGTGCGAAGTAGTCTCTGCCTTGGTGCTTTACCCCATCTGTGGTATGCACCGCTTGTGTTTTCGTCAGGATCAACTTGCGGTTTATTTGAATCTTCTTTATCTTCCTCCTCAATCGATAGTAGTGGGACGCTCAGATCGGCTTTTGACTCGATTTCAAGCCCCTCTTCAGCGGCGAGCATCATTGCGAGCAACGCACGAAACGGTTTCGTGTTGTTGGGCTGCTCCTCCACACTAGAATACGTAATGTACGGACCTTGAGTACCGTTAGCAGGTCGGTTGTGAAGTCGGAGAAAGATCCATTTATGGTGACACGTCAATGCGAGCCAGTTGGCCTTATGGGAAGCCATGTATAGGCACGCCTGGACGAGATATTCAATGGTCAATTGTCCAATGGAGGAATATAACTCGCACGTTGTTGATTATTTTCTTCGCTGAGTCTCTACCGGGCACCAGTTCTATGTGAAAGGATGGTCGCTCAAGCATACTCAAAGCATCAATCATGACGCTCCAGGACTTAACATCAACGCATATCTTGCGCCTGCCCCGGTAAATTGCATAATCTACCTTCGAATGAAATGCCGTGTTCGGAGGGGGAAGATCCTCGAGAATATTGACAGCGAGGTCAAGAGCTTCCATTACGTCGTTCAAAGCAGAGATAGCACCGTGATAAACCATTCTCCTTGCCTACCGCAAAGGACGATATCAGTAACATTCGTGATCCATCTCGAAGTTAACTGACTTGAGTCTCATTCGTATTTTGCCGCCAGGCTGTATCTGAACCATAACGGTCTCTCATTGGCTGGAAGGCGAAATCTAATTGTTCTTCTAGGACTGGTAGAGGTCGATCCTGGAGGTAACGGTCTAATGCGGATAAAAGTGCGTCCACCATGTCGCGATCACGCCAGCCTGCCACTGGTTTCCAATCCTCGCTGAGCAGCGCCACTTCAAAGGGTGTAACATCTATGGCAATTTCCCCAGCTGAGCCCACTGGATCAGGAGAATAAAACTTGGCCTTTTGCTCCAGATAGTCTTTGAAGAGCGTCATGATAGTAAGCAGGCAAGCAACATGGGATTCGGTGAAATAGCAAAAGGTGTCGGACGGGCCGAAGGGTTCCGATCAACTAACCGCATCATCCGGGCCGGCAGTCTCATCCGAACCGCAATGACCCACTCTTCTCGACCAAGCATCAACTTGGACCACCTCGACCACTCATCTGCGCTGGCCCTCTTCTCCTTCCAACCAGAATTCGGAAGTTATGTTTGACGGCCTCGATTGTTATGTCCACTGGTGTTGTCCTTTGCGAAGGACCTCACCTGTGCAGTGGTACTCGGTTGTTATGTCCGCTGGTGGTCTCCTTTGCGAAGGATTTCACCAGTCTGGTGGTACTCGGTGGTTACGCCCACTGGTGGTGTCCTTTGCGAAAGATCTCACCTGTGCAGTGTTACTTGGTTATTATGTCTGCTGGTGGTCTCCTTTGCGAAGGATCTCACCAGTCTAGTGGTACTCGGTGTTTCGTTCGCAGACAGTCTCTTTTTCGAAGGAGCTTGCCTGCTTCGTTGTTCGTTGTTCCCGTTTCATCGTTTTATGGGCTAAGGCTCGAGCATCGCTGCAGGCACGCTATAGCGGACCTCGTTTGTTATGCTCACCTGATGCTTGCATTCCGTTCCTACAGTCTGTAGTTCTTCGTTTCTTGGTGGATGATTTGTACGCTCCCATTGCGCTCGATATCTTCTCATTGCTGCTGACCTGTAACTTTCCATACACCCCATGGTCCGTGCACCACGTCTCACTTTCCCGTTACGTATTTTACATTTGCTCACATGTTCTTTCACCGTCATTACTGACGCACATGTCTGATGAGCCATTTCATAACGCTCCTCCTTTTGGACAGCAGTGATTCTTAAAGGAGTCATACACTACACCGAATTTTCGACGTATACGCCAATGCTAACTGGTTCTCCGTGCTCGATCGTGCTTTGTTATTTATGTTCTGTCTCATCTTCATCACTTTTCATTCAATTGTGTGCTCTGCGAAGAGTCTCTACTCCGCGAGACGCACTCAACAGTGTGATTACAACGGTATGAGCCTTCGCAGCCACAGCGCATGGTTCGCCATGTCATGGCTGTGGACCCGGCCGTTCCTTATTGGGACCTGGCGCCGGTAACACCACCACCACCACCACTCAAGGCAGAAAAAAATCACGGTTTCGCACATACACCGTGAGCTGCGTTCCCGAACAAACTGGCTCTGCCAATGACAAGGGACTCATACAATGTCCATCTGTGTCCAAACGGAGATCGATAGTCGTGCCCATTCTCATCAGGGCATTTTTTTCCAAAACTGGCATGCTCGATACGTGTATTGTGACAGCGAAAAGTTACCATCGCTTTTGCAGAACGTTTCAAAGTACCCATAGCCCTCGTGTCTCCCTTCCAGATTTCTGAGGTCAAGTCACGCCGTGCCAGCACCAGGCCACGACAAGCGATGTCGCAGGTCTGCTAGCGCGGCCATAAGCAGCAGCAACGGATGAACAACGTCCCATCGTCCTTGCACGGAATCCTCGAGATTTTTTCCAAAAGGTGTATTTGCTATGATCAATAAATAACCAGACCAGTCGAGAGGACGAAGCTAGGTATGGAACATGAATCAAGAAAACAGCCTTCAATATCAGCACCAACATAATCAACCCCTTGGTACGACGAGGATCTTTTTGGGATTGTCATCAGGTCCAGTCTCGAGCTCATCCCCAAGAATTTCCTTCTCCCTGTTGAAATGCTCATCTGGCTGGGCTTCGGGGATGACATTCTCGACATCGATATCTGCCTGAGAGCCCTTCAGTATGTGACGACCATCTTCGCCATTTCTCTCTCGCCTATCCTCATGTATGACGCCTTCCGAATCAAGACGAGCATCCTCCTGGGACTCGGTCAGAGGGCAATGGTCGTATTCGTCATCTAATCCCTCTTGCTGGGCTTCTAGATCACTACTCATACAATCCCGCTCAGAGTTCTGGCCTCTAGTTTGTGTCCTGTGGAATCGGAGGGTGCCCGATATTACGCTTCCCTTCCAAGACTCATCTGGGCGGGCATGTCCAGCCGCGACACGTCCAACGAGGAGCGTCGGAGCGATTCCCTATATGATAACAGTCAATGAGATGCAAAGGCAGGGAAAAACTTGAAGAAGACAAGCGTACCCTTGCCACTGCTGCGAGGGGATCAAAGTAAGCCACTGAAGCATCATTGCGGGCGTAGACGGCCAGATATAGGATCAGTGTGACGGAATAAAGAGCTGATGATTCGACGATGACCTCGATAACATGGCGGTAAGTCCTGAGTCCGGCTCCTATACCAGTTCCTGCTCGAGCTACAGTGACGATACGGTAGACAATGAGCAATGTACACCATAAGGTCGTAGCAAGAACGAATGATGAAGAAAGCACAAAACCCAGAGCATAGACATCTTCGGGGGAGATGTAACCTCTGTATACACCAATCATTTTGAAGACTACATCAACCGTTGGGTGAGTCAGCTAATCAAAAGATACGAGATACCTTACCAACTGCGCATATAAGAAAAGCTACGGGTAGCAGAACGGTCAGCCATTGCTGACTGCAGACTATCCAACATCGCCAAATCTACCATCACGATAAGCTTCATATAAAATAAGCAATATGTTACACACAATGGTGATATCCGCAAGGATAGTAGCAACAGTGCTCGTGATACCAGTCACCAGTGATATCCAGCTATCAGGTTGGGTGTAAAACAGGAACATTGTCCAAAAACTCTGCCCATGATCAATAAACACCGAGCGGACAACCGACCAGTCAAAGGCCAAGTCAACGGTGGTAATAATATAGAGGAGAGCAATGATGATGGTCAGAGCTTGTTTGATAGGCCGGGACTTGTTTGTATCTGTGGGATTTTCTTCAGCTTGCGTAGTATGGTGGGTATACAGTTTCCCTCACAGATATCCCACAGTGTGATAGTGACAATTCCAAAATATATGCCTATGTTAAAAGCTCTGATCAGAAGGAGACACTGCAGGTCTCAATGAATGTACATGCCATTTAATAGAGCACAAAGGATCATTGCATTTAAGTGAGCATCGAGAGTTTCAAATATGATAGCTTTATCACTGTCGGGAAGGTCTGGCGGGATGTTGGTCTGAACAGTCATTGAGAATAGGTAGAATGATGAGAGATGGGACTAGAATAATTTGAAATGAAATATACCACATCGCTTGAGATATACCACACGGCGGCACAGCAGAGCCCTTCTAAGGGTTTGCAAGATTATCAGTGCGTAGTGCATCAAGGGCATCACCTGCACTGCCTCCGCAAGGGGAAGAGTCAAAAATATTTCTATATTTTTAGACTTGTTGAAACTTGACCTTCAAAAACATTCAACGATCTCATTGGGGGGCGCTAGAGCATACCGAACCAACCAGCATCTTTTGAGTATCCCTGTCGCAACAAGCAAATGAGTGTTAGTATGTTTCCTGGTGCAGGAATCTTTTCGTAGCACACACTTTACGCCTCGGAGTTGTGAGAGAAGCCTAAAATTACTTTGATTCTCTGATGAGATCTCACGGCCATGAAGCGTAATCAGGGCATAAAACATCTCCAAAGATCCATAGGCCCCAAGGTCGGAAGGTCGGAATGCTATGGCATACCGTGGTTCGCGCAATGATATCCAATTCAGGGATCAAGATTGTTAACAAGCACAATTATATTCGACTCGGAGTCTATGCCGTACTCTTGTGTAACACGGAAGGAGAAAACCGCGTGCCTGGAACAGATGTGCACTCCGCCTTCACGCAAGCTTTCATCGTTTTGATGAAAATTGTAGTATTCGGAGAGTGTGTAAGACGACGAAGAAACGACTGCTCTGGGCCGGCGGCCTACGACGACTAAACCAGGAATTGGAACAGCAGCCTCCCAGGAGCAACGGATGTCCGATAATCGATGGCCTTGCTTTTGCCTCGGCTCGAAGGTGAAAACATCCACTACAGACGATGGCTCGGAGAGAGCGAGCGGAACCGCCGCCGACGTCTCGGCATGGTTGAAGGCAGAGAAGTTGGTGTTACCGAAGAGCGAACAGAACAGAGGAGTGAATGGAGGCGGACAACGACAAAGGAGGCACATCCACCAGGTGAATCGAACCTGACTGTGCTGTCGATTTATGCTAAGTGCAAATATAGCATGGCTATTGGCTGGTTGTCGGAGCGGTACACCGTTGGTTGTGGTTGGACAAGAATGGACGAGTATCAGCTGTTTATCCTCTAAAGTGGGACGTTGACGAGCTCGATACGCGGCAGCTAGAGACATCACTGGTCTGCACAACATATCATTGCATATGGGACGACGCGAGGGGTGGCGCCGGTGATTCGAGAGATTATCAACGTGTTCGGAGACATTACGCCATAGCCTCACCGTCCAGCACAGCTGAAGAGCTTTTTACTCTCAACGCAGGATTTGGTCATCGACGCCGTTTGAGAAGCATCACAGATTGAAACGTCCCTCGTTCCTGCAAGCCAAATATTGCCCATTCGCATCACGAATCTTCCAGAGCTAGCTCGAGGCTAGCCGATCCGCAGCATTGAACTGGATCAGTGATGGCGAGATGCAGGATGCGTGGGCAATAGATCTTGGACAATGGGCAGATCGGCAAAATGCGGGAAGGAAGAGTTGGAGAGTGGCTGAGAATCCCTCCACACATGCCCCGCATCACTTTCCGTCTCTGCCATCCCTCCCTCGTACCATCGGTTGCCGGATCTTGACACTTTGCATTAGGATAAAGTCACCTGAGACCGCCCAATTCTTGCTCGCAGGATTTCGATAGTCCAAAAGTTTGTTTTTCGGAGGTCGATGATAAGGTCGCAGTTCTTAGGAAGGCAATACGTCGTGTTGGGATGTTCTCGGCTATCGATGGACGGTGATGGAGATGTCGGGTAGAGAAAGGGATAGCGTCGACAAACTGTCTCCGTCTCCTATCCACCTAAGATTTCCCACTCCTTGCTCGGCATACGCGGCATCAGTGCAAAACTGGCGATCGTAGAGATAATTCCAGCGCGGCTGGGTCGGATTGCTGCAACGGATACTCCTGGTTTGGCGAGGAGTGCGGGCGGAGGACTCGTGATTACAGTTCTAGAAAGAGACAGCAATATTGGGAATCACGCATAGAACAAATGAAATTATGAAGAGAACGCACAATACATCGTGACACGCCTGCCCAACTCTCCCTGAACCAGCCTCGACGTCGAACAGCCAATGCGTTGCCACTCACGAGGCATATGTTTAAGACATTCTAATGCACGAATGACGATTTTCGAGGTCGAAATGGCCGCTGAGAAAAAAGACTAAGCATCAACTAAATATCGGGGAAAAAATACAAACATCGTAACCATGTTGTAGCTATAGCATCGATGCACCAACGTTCACGTGCACAATCAACACCCATCCCTCTCGTACTGCTCCCAACGGCACCCGCCACGCATGCAGTGAAGATGGGCCACCCAGGACCCCAAAAGCAAATTTGAAATCAATTTGAAGGGCGGCGGTGTTGTCCCAGGTCTGGAGCGAAGAAAAGATACGAGCGAGAGTAAAATAAGCGAGAGCGACTCAAAAAAAGACGATCGGCTTCCCAGAACCTGAAAATACTGGAGATCCGTGAGAGTTCTCGAGAAAGACGTTCAATTCCCGTTTTGGCCAGTAGGCGGTAGACATCCTGACAAATATGACGCATAAATTTCGATGCTCGACCATGACGTGTGTCATTCTACAAATTTATAGTTTCACAAATTATTTCTTTCACTCTGTTGTTTTTTTCAGTAAATTCGTTGGATTCCCTACTCTCGGGGATTTATGAATGAGTAACTTCGCACTTGTCCAGGTCTCACACATTCGAACTGCCACCCGCGTTTTGGTGTGTCAAACATCCCCTTCGAAACCTTCTAACAAAACTACGACTTGTCTATACACCCACGGCCTTAGTAAACTCCCGCTCAATGTGTATCCTTTCCAGACAGGAAGACACCAGTCGTGACAACGAAGCGAACGAAAACGTATGGGGATACCAATAAGGCTAAAACACGTGCATAATGTTCAATAAGTAAAGAATTAGAGCCTGAAAAATAGCGTGAGGACATAAAACGAACACAGCGCAATCAAAATGCATGCAGTCATAAAGACATTTTCACGCCGTCAATCCCTTGAAACAACAAGTACGGTGTTTGGATCGTCTTCCGGTCTATCTTGCTGGGCGTCGAGACCATTTCCCCGGGATTCCGCTGAGAGGATGGGATGACCATACTCGTTACCTCCCTCCCGCTGAGCTTCAGGATCGTCGCTCATCGTGGAACCATGGCCTCTGGTGTGCGTCCCAAAAGTGAAGCGGAGCGAGCCCAATACCACACTCCCCTGCCACGAGTCATCTGGGCGGGCATGACCTGCGGCAACACGTCCTACAAGGAGGGTCGGGGCAATTCCCTATGGTATGCCTGTTAGACGCGAACCTAGAGAAAAAGCACAAGCACACGAGCATACCCTTGCACTTCCCGCTAAGATATCAAAGTACGGTCCCACGTAGGAATCACGAGCGTAGAACCCCACGTATAAGATTAAGCATGCTGAATAAAGAGCCGACGACTCGACCAAGACCTCGATGATATGACGGTAAGTTCTCACTCCACCCCCCACTGCCTCGCCTCCTACAGTGACAATGCGGTAGACGATAAGAGCGGTGCACCAGAAAGTTGTAGCGAGGAGGGAAGGATGAATAGAGCACGAATTCAAAAGTGTAGCTGTTGGAGATGGTGAAGTCTTGGTATTCACCAACAATTTTGAATGCTATACCGATCCTCAAGTAAATCAGCTGAGTGAGGGATCTGAGAGATCTTACCAGTTGCGCTAAGAAGGAAAAGTATAGGCAGGAGAACGATCACCCATTGCCGGCCCCAGACTATCCAACAGCGCCAGATCTACAATAGGCTCAAGTGAGAATCGGGTTGAGTCGAAAATTAGCATTGTCGCGCGCACCATGGTAGAATCCGCGAGGATAGTACCGATGGCGCTTGCCGTACCCGCACTAATTATCGTCGTTACTCCAGGACTCCCGTAAAACACATTTTCCGTCCAAAGATTCTGTCCGTGGTCGATAAATACAGAGCGGATGTTCGACTAGATGAGGGCGAAGTCGATGACAGTAACAATATAGAGGAGGGTTATGACGACGACTATAGCCCATCCGACAGGCCGGGACTTGTTCGTGACTACGTCGTTCGCGTTAGCTTATGTCGCGTGGGAGTAGACATGTTACCCTCACAGATGTTCCACAACATGACGGCAACGACTCCGGTATATAACCCTATAGTAGAGCCCACTAATCAGACACGCATATCAAAAGTTTGAATCAACATGCGCACCAGTTAATAGAGAGTAAAGTATCCTTGAATTCAATTCCGTGTCAAGACTTTGAAATATGATGGTTCTGTCAGCGTCGGAAAGGTCTGGTGGGATGCTGGTCTGAGCGGCCATCTGAGTGAAGGATGAGGAAGGGGGTGGTCTGCCTGGTAAAATATACCACCACATTGCCTATCACCTTGGGGCCTGGGCTGGCACATAGAGCCCTACCGACATAGAAAAAACTGCGGCGGAGTTGTTGTAACGATGATCAGCAGGGTCGAGAAGTCCACCTTTAGTGCCTTTGTGAAGGGGTGGGTCTTGAAGACCCTCTATTCTTGGATTCCTTGATATCCAACGATGGTAAAAGCGATTTCATTTCGAGTGGAACGAGTATTGGAATACACTGGGTATCCCTGTCCTGACGAAAAACGGAATGTTAGTATGTTTCCCAGAGGGAAACCTTTTAGGAATTCCATGACCATGAATTAGGTGTAACACATACTATGATCACCCCGATTCTCTGACAGATCTCATCATGAGAATACGTGCATATGAATAATCTCCTTCGACATATGACCCACCTCAAAGATCGACAGATGGCGGGATTGAAATCGTCCTGGGGCCTTGCAGCGATATCAGATTCAAGATTCTTAACAACTACAGGCCATTGGTAGCCTCGATTCCCGTATTCTCGTGCTGAAATCGTAAATGCGACGCGGGGTGGATGTAAAGGGAGAAATATAATTACCTGCAGTTTTTTGACAGAGATCCCTTCATAGCTGCCCTCATGAAAATGCTTGTAATCCCACTGTAAATCATCCCCTTTGACAAGGATCAAAGATCGACAGATGGTGAGATGACTTATTCATGGGGTCTCGTGGTAATAGGCCCCTGCTACTAGATTATTCCCTGGGTGCCTCGAATATAATATAAATTACGAGTCCTCAGCCGCTAGCTAGGGTGGGAGACGTATTGTTATATAGGATTCGGAGCGTTGGTGAAAGAGCCAAGAAAAGAGCAGTGTCGGACTTGATGCCGATGGGCCGACAGTTTCCGATCAACTAACCGCATCATCCGGGCCGGAAGTCCCATCCGAACCACGACGACCGTTTCTCTTCTGAACAGTATCCTCCTTCAAGCACCCGGTAACAGAGAGCAAGTGGCGACCGATGCTCGATAGCCTGCCTTGATTCTCGCTTCCGCTTGACAATGCCTTGCTCTTTGCTTTATATCGCGTACCATACCGACCCTGGGCGGCGGCAGGCTGGACAGGGCGAGCCAAACCAATTTCAATCGGCATCCCCGCATGATTAGAGGCAAGGAATCTAGGGATAAAACTTGCTAAGGAAGCTAAGGAAGGAGTGAATGTGGACAATGACAAAGAAGTACATCAACCGGGTGAGTTGAGGTCGACCGCGCTGCCGATTTATATTAACTGTGAACAGAACGTACCTATATGCTTGCTGTCAGAGTCATGAATCGTTGGCTGTGGCCATGTGAGGACGAATTCCTATCAGTTTCTCACTCTATCTTCGCTGGATGCTACCGAGCTCGATATGCCTATGTGGTGGCAAGAAATCGTTCTTCGCACGTAAATCGTTGCGTATGGGATGGACACGAGGAACAGTGACGTCTCGAAATCCTCGCGCTCACCATGTTTGGATGTATTCCTCGACGAAGTTCCGTTGTCGTTGGGAAGCACCACTGGAGTGGAACATTCCTCATACCCGCTCTAATCAAATTATGGGATACGATACCGGAATCACGTCCCCAGTACTAGACCATAATATACAGCAGCGTTCTCGAACAAACTGGCGCTGCCAACGACAAAGGAATACAATGCTCATCTACGTCGAAACGGAGGGGAGGGTGGCGCAGAGCAATTGAAAACCTGGATCTGTTCTAGGTGGGTACTGAAACAGATGTTGATTGAACATTTTACTTAAATTCATATAGGTACCGCTTCAACAGCGTAATCGCATATAGGCGCATAACCGGTAGCCCTGCCTATTCTCATTGGGGCATTTTCTCCAAGACTGGCAGGCTCGAGATGCGTATTGTGACAGCGAACAATTACCACCGCTTTACACAACTTTTCGAAGTCTGAAGTCACCGGAATCAGTACCCATAGCCCTAGGGTCTCTTCTCCGAGTCTCTGGGATCATATCACAGTGTGCAATTCAGGCGAAGGCTTCGAGCCCTACCTACCTTGCACAAAATCCTAGAGAGCTTCCTATCCACTCGTATCATCGGAGAGCGACGTCTTTCTCCAACTCTAGGTCCACTTCTTCCACGACGACAGACCCCCTGGCTATCCTTCGACATGATTCCGACAGCGAGTCTTCTTGAAGTTTTGCGTGCAGTATTTCGCTGCCCCTCCAAAATCGACGGCATTTACTATGAGCAATCTCTAATCGGCGCATCTCACATAACTTGCCACACTTCAGATCAGCGGAGCCCTACATCAGACTAAACTCGTCACAAACCGTGTCTGGCATACGATCCTCGCGCAAGAACCTTCTCAGCTCAGCATCCATCCTTCTTCGACAATCTTCTACTGTGTCCCACCTTATCACCAATTCATATGTCACACTTGGTATTTCTGTATGCGACCTCTCCGCCTCGCTACCTTCCTCTTTGGTCCGGGTTGTTTGCTTATACTTTCGAGGTTATTTCCAAATGGCCAGCTGATTCGAATATCTATGTCACTTATCTCGCAACTAATATAAATGCGGGCCCGTGATATCCCAGTATTCTTTTATGTGCGAGCAGCTATAGAGGTTTACGTAGATCAACCACATGGTCTGCTTTTGTCCAAGACCAGACTATCAAGCGACGTTCACTATTAGTGTCATAGGTTGTTGGTTTCGGCATCGTGACACATCCATACCAAGAAGCATCAGTGTGTCTTTTATAAGAGCCGAGGTGCGCGAACCGGGGCTCCACAGGGACACATTCACTCTCAGGGCTTACCTATCATCTGCTCTTCTTTCAAGCTCTTGGCGGGAAACAGCGAAAGAAGAGATGAGATAAGCCCACGGAAAGGCCGGTCCTCTTAAAGAATCACAAACGAAAAGACACCACCCACGGCAACCCCTTCCCAATGAACTCGACTCTCCTGCTCGCATTTCTTTTGTTCAGTGCCCTAGTATTATATCGCCTGTCTAACTTACTTCTCCGTCGAAGCAGACCTTTCCCTCCCGGACCCAAGGGACTCCCGCTCATAGGGAACCTCTGGGATGTTCGCGTAGATTACCCATGGCTAACTTATGCTCGATGGGCTGCCACCTACGGCGACGTCTTGTATCTGGATATACCCGGAAATCCGACCATTATAATCAACTCTGCCCAAGCAGCGGCGGATCTTTTCGAAAAGCGTTCAGGGAACTATTCCGATAGGCCAGGTATGGATAAACGATACTCCAACGTCTCAGAGTTGACAACGCAACACAGATTTTACCATGTTGAAGCTAGCGGGATGGGAGAATACTTTCGGCTTTATGAGATATTCTAACTGGTGGAGGTCGGTACAAGCGTGTATGCTGTTCGTGGTCTAATTCTTCTTCCTCCTCGTCGTAGGACACATCGCCGAATGTTTCACCAATATTTCCAGCCTCGTGCAGTGCCAGCATACTATCCTGAGCAGATGAAAGCGACGCAGGTCTTGTTGCAACAACTATATAAATTTCCCGATGCGTTTGCTCGCCATATTCGCCAGTAAGTTGGACATATTGCCAAGTGCGTCCTTGGAAACTGACAATCTTCCAGCCATGCTGGATCAATCATTATGAAAATCGTCTACGGATACGATGTAAATCCTAGCGGCGATCAATTTGTGGAGTTGGCAGATCGGGCTCTGGAACATGTTCGTGCCTTTGGAGGCGAAGGGAACTTTCTCGTCGACTACATCCCTCCTTTAAAATACCTTCCGCGTGAGTTTGCTTATATTTGATCGCTACACTCGTATTGAAGGTGTCTTAAGGATGGATGCCTGGTACAAAATTCTTGAGCCTTGCACAAGCCTGGAGAAAAGATGTCAAGAACATGGAAGAAGAGCCATTTAAATATGCAATAGAGTCAGTGGTATGTTCTTGCTTACCTGCTGATCGAACTCAATCACGTTAACTCTTGTCCAAGGCTAAGGGCTTTGCACCTCCTTCATTCGTCTCGGAAAATTTAGCAAAGAATGGAGCATCAGAGAATGAAACACACCTTGAAATCGTAAAGAATATAGCTGGGGGTGCCTTTGCTGGTATATATTTCCCGATGCTCGCTGAACGCTTCATCTTATGTCCGGTTAGCGGGAGCTGATACTGTAAGTCTTCACCTGTGCGCATCATTCATCTTTTCTTATCAGTACAAAGACTGTGTCAGTTGTCCTTTCCACGATACTCGCTTTTCTTCTTTACCCCGAAGTACAAGTCAAAGCCCAAGCCGAACTGGACGCTGTTGTCGGACATGGCACCCGTCTACCGAATTTTGAAGATCGTCTGCAGCTGCCGTATATTGATGCTATCGTGTTGGAAGCCCTGAGATGGAATCCTGTTATACCACTGGGTATGTGCTTTCAAATCTGCTAGCATGCTTCTATTCATAGACTTTGATTTACTAGGTATTGCTCATCGCACCGTGAAAGAGGATGTTTACAGAGGTTATTACATCCCTGCAGGTCTGCTACATGTATGTTTTTGTTCTCAGAGTATGCCTATCTTTCTGTAGGTGCGACTGTCATTGGAAACGCTTGGTCAGCTACGAGTTAATTTATAATCTTCAACAAGCCTTAGATTAACAGACAATGCAGGGCCATACTCCACGACGAAAATGATTATCCGAACCCTCTAGTATTTGATCCCGACCGCTTCATTCCTCAAGATGGGAAAGACGTCCAACCAGAACCAACACCCGCGTTTGGTTTTGGAAGACGGTGCGCATCCTGTGATATGACCAAGTCCGACACTCTTGACAATATTCCTACAGTATCTGTCCCGGTAGATATCTCGCGTTAAATACTGCCTGGATTGCCATCGCATCTATGGCGTCGACTTTGTCGTTTTCCAAGGCGGTTGATTCCGAAGGCCGGGTCATTGAACCGAGTGATACCTATACAAGCGGTTTTGCGAGGTGGGCATTCCATCCTGGATGTACTAGTGTGCTTTAATTTCGAGTATAGCTCTCCCATGCCTTTCAAATGCATGATCAAGGCGCGGTCAGCTGCAGCGCAAGCGTTGCTGGATTAAGACGAGTTGTACCCATTTTGAAACAACTACTTTGGTTAGAAGTACGACTTGTCAAACGTTCTCAATGTCATCCTCATAAACGACAGTCCCGCTAATAAATTGACTGTCTCCTAGTCTCTCCAGCCGCACCTCGGGGCCATCCCGGCATACGACGATCTTGTTTACAGTGTCTTCCCGAGATCCTTTCAACGTATGATGGGCGTGCTCATCCTCTCTCTCGTGCCCTTCGAGGTCGTCGCTCATCGTGAAAGAGTTTTGCTGAGAGTTCTGACCTCCAGAACACGTCCTGAAGTGAAAGTGAGCCCGATATCACGCTGCCTTGCCATGAATCGTCTGGGCGAGCGTGGCCTGCTGCGACACGTCCAACAAGGAGTGCGGGGCAATTCCCTATGGTATATATGTGAGATGCAGAGTCAGGAAATAAACATGAGCGTGCCCTTGCCATCCCCACTAGGGAGTCGAAGTAATCCAATGTGACGTCTTCGCGAGCATAGAAAATGACGTGTAAGATCAATGTTAGAGAGTAAAGAGCTGATGATTCAACCATGATTTCGATAACATGGCGATAAGCTCGGACCTTGCTGTGTCACTTCCTGGGGCAACTGTGACAATACGGTAGATAATGAGTACCGTGCACCACAAAGTTGCAGGGCTTGCATCTCAAAGAATTATATCGAGTCTATTGATGCTATTGCAGGAAAATGGGCATGCCCCGGACGATAAAACCCACTTCATAAGGGTCCCAGCAGAATCCGAAAAATCCTCAGAGCCGTTGATGCGTACCGAGACCGGAGTAGGGGGTGAAATGAAGGGGGTGGTTCACATTGCATTCCTCTATGATCCTACTATTTCGACATGCGATGCGTACTTCTTGCAAGTCAGGAGAATTTTTGACAAGCGAGAAAATCTCGCCTATCGATCTGAAGTGGAAGAACAGGGAAGTGTCGACAACGTGGTAAGAACGGGACTGCAGACTCGACACAACAGAATCTGGCATACGATGCCACTCTCCACCGCCAAGAGATAACCGGGTGACATTGATAAGAGATTCGATGACCGTCAGCGCCATGTAAAGCGTGGGAGAATGTATATGAGTCTGATGGCATGCGAACACGATTGCAAGGGATGTAAAATGCAGGGCGAGCTTTGGAGACAAGGTGATCAGCTTTCGGAGGCGTTCGCAGGCGGATTTGCCTGTCAATACGGCAACAGAGAATAGATGAGCTCTGGTTCTTGGATAAAAGGCTCTGCAAGCCAATGATGCTCGCAGAAGTGATGTCCTGTCCCCGTGCAGCTCATCGATAATGGCATCGAGAATCTATGGCGGGAGATCCAATACTGGCATTATGCAGAGATGTTGGACAGGTAGAGCAAAAAAAAATAGAGAGAGTCGAAACCCTGCTGATTACTTTGTAAGACCAGATGGTAATAAGAGCGCTGAGCGCTGAGCAACTTCCTCACAAAGATGGCGGTTGTATGAAAGATAAATCGATAACCGGTTAACCGATGACTTCGGAAGGTCACCGAGTAGTCTAATTGCCGGCTATAGTAAGTACTTCCGGACTTGAAATTTCCATCGTCAACGACGCAATATTCTTTCCTCTGACAATCCGCTGGAGGGACACTTTCAGGATGGTAGGAAACCAAAGAAGAAAAATGCTTGACACATTGCAAAGAAACACCCTGGTGCTTTGATACAGGCCCAGTTGCACCCGTGATTGAATTCGAGTAACCCTGGTCCCTCTCGAGCGGTCTTCTGTGTTTATAGATCGATATAGGTACGTTACAATCATCTGACACGACGGGATGCTCTAAAACATACAGATATAATTGAAATTCGCTCACCTGCACAAGCCTGCAAGAATAACATGCGCCGTACCTAATACTGTGCCATGGCAATGCTGGAGGCAACTGTGCGCCCGAAACCTTAACATCGTTCTGTTCAATCACCTCTTTTTGACCATAGTATAGGGAGCGTCGGTACCGCAATCACCATGTTTCAAAAGCATCCCATTGAAAAATCTCGGACTGTCACCTTCCTTTAGTAAGGTTCCCTCTGGACGGGTTTGGCTTCTAGCTATCCTTTATATTGGGAAGGGGGTTCAACAGGCTCGTCCTCCCCTCCCCCCCCCCGGTTCTTAATCCCGTTTCATTTGACATGACGGACACAGACGGGCTCAATATTCTGTATGATATCATTAGATTAACTTGTCAAACTTTAGTTTACGGTGAGCCCCCCTCTCTCCTGGCCGAGCAGTTGATTAAAATCTTAACACGCAGGCATGTACATAATCATCATGCTGGTCTGCTCCTTTGTTATGCTGTGCGTCGTCTTCTTTTACCAGCTTCTTGCCTTGCGACTGATAGCCCTGTAGGAAGAGAGGTCTTAGAGGGAAATCGCGTATTTTGCTGTTCTGCATACTGGTTTTCATGTTCTCCTTTTCAACGGCCTATTGGATCGTATCGATATGTCAAGCCGTGTATGTCATCACCATCTCATTTGTGCATGGCATCCCTCTGGAAAGTATAGCGTTTTCGTACGGCGAAAAACAAGACATAATGAACGCTCTTGTCCTCCTGAATGTGAGTATCCGAGTTTATTTTCTGTAAAGAATTTATATCCAACGCTCCGCAGTATGTGCTAACCGACGGCATTGTCGTTTGGCGGGCATGGGTAATCTGCCGAGACGAGTATAGCAAATTTTTGATCCTTCCTCTCGTATTCTTATGCTTGACCCTCTGTGAGCCTTGGTTCTTCATCTTGATTCCTGCTCACGGTTGACATGATAATAGTGTCCGTTTTCGTTACAATCGGATTGCGCGTCACGATAACTACCATGTCCGTCAGCCGGCACATCGTCATGGACCATACAGCCCTGACCCACGCGCTTAATTATTCCCAAATAATAAACTTAGCCCTGTCATTATTGACCAACATATTTTCTACTTTGATTGTCGGAGTCAAAGCCTGGTACGTGTCGTGGTCATGGTTGTCCCTTACATTAATAAGATCTGATCTGTTATCTGTACTAGGCGTCATAGACACTGGGTTACATCCGAACTTCAGATGAGGCGGACAAAAATAACTTTAGCAGGACGGGTTCTCACTTTGTTTGTCGAGTCCGGGATCATTTACTGTCTTTCTGGAGTACGTGACCGTTCGAACGATTTTTATTACACCGGATCCTCAATTCCTCCAGATAATAGCTCTGATTGCCACTGAGATTCAACTTCCCTTTGGCAATCTCAGCGATGTCTACACTCCGATCCAGGTCCAGTTCGCGGTCCGTATTAATTAATACTCGTTTAGCTGGCCAAATTGACCGTTCAAACCAGGGGATCTATCCAACCTTGGTTATTCTTCTCGTCAGCCGCCAAGGTGAATTAAACGAGACTGCCATGTTCACGTTTGAGGACAAACGCAATCCCCCGGAACAGCCATTGAATGTATCCAATTTGGGACCCATCGAGTTTGGCGATAATCAGAATATGAACGGCTCGTTTGGAGAAACGGAGACCCTTGCGGATGTTAGACATAGCAGGTCATCAGTATTACAGCGTTCTCAGGATTAGCGAGCTGGACGACGCTGGCGTTGTTTTCCTTTGCATTAACATGACCGAAGCTCTCTACTAGAGTGGCGAACTAACTACCCTTAGCCCTTCGGTGTGTTCTATAGTAGACAGGAACTAGAGAGCTTCCCTTCAGGAACACTTTGTCGCGATAGATTAATTTCAAACGAGTTTCCGGTATGAGCGAGCTTCAGAACTGATATCCGTTCCGTCGCACCACCACCATCGATTATTGTAGGCAATCAACGACCGGAATGACCCGGGTCTTTGGCAATGTCCTATGCAACGGCATTTACTGGCGCTCGAGGTACCTTCTATGGTGAGCGGTGAGTGGGAGTGTTCCGATCATAACAATCAACCACCGATGAGATATTGATACATGTATCTATTTCAATTGTAAGCAAAGATAGTCTAGGACCATCTGGTAAAGTAGATCAGCATTGGTTGTCGTGACTGTTAAAAGAAAACGTACAAATCCCCGGTAATCTCGAGTGATAATGACTACTGGGCATGACTGCTGTCGTCTTCGCATTCTTCCTGATCGTTGGGCATCTCCATATCAAGCATCCAATGTCAGGAGGACACTTATCAGTACACCCAGAGAACTCTGAACAAAACGAGAAGGTATGGTCCCGCCGAAGTTAGGCTGCGACAGTGGAAGAATTCCTTCGCAAAGCTTGAATGGCAGGGACAGAATGAAGATACATCATGGCCAAGACTTAAGGATGAAAATAGAAACGGGATTATTATCCAGACGGGACAGATGAGCGCTGTTATTGCACAGCCCAGCTCCAATAACAGCAAGTCCTGCAGAGAAAATGCCATACTCAGCACCACCAGTAGTCCGAACCGCACCTCTACGTCAGACGAAGCAGAGAAATGGCCCTTGCGCAGCACACTAAAAAATGGGAAACGGCGAAAGAAAGTCTTGGTTATTTCATCAAAGATACAATCTTACACTATACTTTCAAGCCTACTTCTTCACAGCTTTGGCAGTGGGCCCAGTGGAGTCGTCCGACGCATCGAGGTTACACTGGTGGAATGCGCGATTATGGAATATCACTTTTCCAGTCGTGTGGGTAAACAGGCTTGGGGTATAATCAGTGATTTGTCCGACGTCAAAACACAAATTTACCCACCTTTGGTGCAATAGCTGGGTGCTTCATCTTGTACAACAACCCTCGCACTTCCTTCTCAGGCCCGTAAGGCGCATACTATCAGGGTATAACGTGGCCTTCCTTCCTCTGGAATGGGCTCAAAGAGTAACTTGGTCGCACTATAAGGATGAACCTGAAAATGCAGCTTTACCTTCACGGGGCTCTTCCAAGCGACTGGCATCTTCAGCTGGGCCTCCTCCCAAGGCGCAAGCTCACTTAGCGACAAGCCCAATCCCACAGATCCGATACCTAGCCCATTCGGCATCGCATGCACAGGGGCGATCCACACGCATGGATGAGGTGCGTACCTGACTTAAAATGCGCGGCGAGACTCTTGAGTTCCGGAAGGAGGATATTTCGGAACACGGTTTTCCCAGAGACGAACGCCGTCGCTCCCAAAGGCACAGGAAGCCCGTCGCCGGTCCCACCATCATACCGACAAATTTACTGAGGACTAGTCGGTACATTGAAGCCATACCGAGAGGTCACCCTAGGCGGCGATAAGTCATATAGCGCATCGTCGATGGCACCAGTGATAGAAACAATTTCCCCCATTGACCCTATCCTGCTGTAATTCTCGGGGTCAGAGGCCTGGAAGGATGTTTAGGTTGTTCTCGCTGCAGATGTAGATAGGCATACCTTGGTCGATACATACCGCTGCTCTGGTGACGGGTCGACGTTGCGAGACATCGGAGCATCGTACTGGAGATGATGAACGTTCGGTATATGCATGAAATCAAGCAACATACCTTGTACAAAGCATTCCGGGATTGCATACCACAATGCTTCACTCTCCATCGACATTAACATACAGGTTTCAATTTTCACCCAAAAGCCTCCAATCACTCCTTCCGAAATCGACGCATGAATTTCGGCTGAACCCACTAGTTGCTCTGAGGGTAGTGTTGAACGCTGGCATTGTCGTCAAGGAATTGTCGGAAGAAAAGAATATCGTTGGCGAGAGTCTACCTTTATCTGATTCTCGGATGCTCGCCCTTGAAGTCGTCCTATTACTTTCGCGTCAAAGTGAAGAAATACAGGGAAAAGAGAGAGACGCACCCGTCGAAGAACAGGAAATCACCAGGCCATCACAATCCTGGATCTGCGATGGAATATATGCGTCTGCAGACCATCGGAGTCCTTGAAACTTAAACTTGATGCTTCATTTCCTCTGTGGCATTCGCAAATCCTGGCGAGAATCTGAGAAAAAGGCGGCATCAGTGGTCATGGTGGCCATTGGTGAAGGAGCGGATGATCGGGCCGGTCCGACCTTCAATTGTGATGACGCCTGCCGTCAAAGCATCATCAATTCTCGGGGGTGCGGTTTCTGACCCCTCTCACGCGAATGATGCCGCACATACTTCAGGGGGACCTTAATCTGATAGGCAGTGCGCATAATATTGCGCGAGCTATGCGGGCGATGTTCTAGTGGAAATAGGGGCTGCGACGTTTCTTCGCTGTCTGCTCCAAGCATCAAAAGTCCCGGTGCAGACTCCTGCTAACACGTCGCCTTCCATCCAGCGCCACGTTTGTGATGACGGACAACATCTTTCGTTGCTATCAACGCAAGACCATTTCAACATGCCGCTTCTAAGGCGATATCCTGTTCGCGCCTTACTGGGGTCGCCACCTTGTCCCTCTTCTCGAGTACTACCATTTCACACTGGTTAACAAGATTCTGTGGCTGCTTGCCCGTATCTTAGCAGTAAATTTTGTGAGTAAATATATGTTTTTATTACGAATGCATCGCTGACTAGTTCCTACGTTGATAGCTTAACGTACCTGTGCACATCGTGTTGATATCGTATCGTCCTTTTACTTTCTTCTCATCCAAGTAGCATTTTGCTAAAGCGACGACCATGCAGGACTGCGACCCCAATATTAGATGCTCTCTTCGGGAGGGTATTTCGTCAGGTTTGCGATCCAAAGTTTTTCTCAGGATCTTACAAGCTAACGCGCGGTTTGGCATAGCCTGGCACCATGGGAGACATCGACGCTGACCGTTCTATCATCAGTATTGTGGTTCCCAGGAAGTAGCGGAGATCTGCTTGGCGATGACGGCTTACAGTGAGCTATCAAATAGATTTTTACCTGAATTCTCTTTAACATGCCCCTTACTTAGCTCAGTAGTCGGTGCTTGCAGATCATTGGCAGAGCGAATAAGATGTGGCGTATACGTGCCTTATACATCTCTGCACCTTTTGCATCAATTGGTATCTTTGTCATTAATGTTTGTTGTCTTCCTTCTCGGTTTCCTTTGATGCGACCTGTACATTTGTGTGACACGTGTCTCGTCTACATGTTCTCCTGCTGATAACTAGCCGGTCACCTCCTGGCTCACCAAAACTTGCTGAGGACTCGGACTTGCCACGCTTGCGATGGCTCCCAGCTTCATACCTATTTTGAAACAACTACTTTGGTTGGAAGTACAACTTGTCAAACGTTCTCAATGTCATCCTCATAAACGACAGTCCCGCTAATAAATTGACTGTCTCCTAGTCTCTCCAGCCGCACCTCGGGGCCATCCCGGCATACGACGATCTTGTTTACAGTGTCTTCCCGAGATCCTTTCAACATATGATGGGTGTGTTCATCCTCTCTCTCGTGCCCTTCGAGGTCGTCACTTATCGTGAAAGAGTTTTGCTGAGAGTTCTGACCTCCAGAACGCGTCCTGAAGTGAAGTGAGCCCGATATCATGCTGCCTTGCCATGAGTCGTCTGGGCGAGCGTGGCCTGCTGCGACACGTCCAACAAGGAGTGCGGGGCAATTCCCTATGATATATCTGTGAGATGCAGAGCCAGGAAATACACATGAGCGTGCCCTTGCCATCCCCACTAGGGAGTCGAAGTAATGCAATTGTGACGTCTTCGCGAGCATAGAAAATGACGTATAAGATCAATGTTAGAGAGTAAAGAGCTGATGATTCGACCATGATCTCGATAACATGGCTATAAGTTCGGAATCCGCTTCCTGTGTCACTTCCTCGTGCAACTGTGACAATACGGTAGATAATGAGTACCGTGCACCACAAAGTTGTAGCAAGGATGAAGGCTGAATAAAGCGCGAAACCGAGAGGGTAAGCAGCTGTGATGGTGGATATTTCGTATGTCGAGATGATTTTAAACACTGCACCAAACCTTGACGTGGACTGACAAAATAGAAATGCTGATCGTCTTACCAGTTCCAGAAATGAGAAGAAGAACGGGGAGCAAAACAGTCAGCCACCGGCGTCCCCAGACTACCCAACAGCGCCAAATCTACGGTTTGGATCACCGTAAGCTGTAGTGTAAAATTCACAGTAGTCACACGCACTATAGTAGAGTCCGCAAGGATGGTACAGATGGCACCTGTAACACCCATCTCCACTGTTGATTCGAAGCTAGGACCGCACTGAGATAGATATCGGGTTCGAAAATTCTGTCCATGGTCGACGAATATAGAACGAATGTATAACCAATTGAAGACGAAGTTGATGGTAGCGACGATATAGAGGAGGATTATAATGACCACCATGGCTCGTCCGATGTGTCGAGATTTGTTAATATCTACATTGTCATTCAACAAAGTTTGTATAATATAGCAGAAGTGCCATTCTCACATATATTCCACAATGTGACCGCAACAATTCCAATGTATATCCCTATGTGAAGCTATGATTAGGCATTTGTGTCTGGACAAACGAACGCACGAACCGTGTAGTAGAGAGACGAGTATTCCCGCATTCAAGTTGATATCAAGAGACTGGAATATAAAGGCCTTCTCGGCATCGGTAAGATTTGGCGAGATGCTGATTTGCAAGGGGGTTGCGGCCCGGCAAGCCGGCACATCGGGTCGGTCGGTCGGTCGGTCCAAAATAGTGTTGCCGCGGCTCGGCTAAAAGCCGCTTAGTCGCGTAGCCGAGCCGGATTAAGCCGAGTCTGAGCCTTTGATTGGCTCAGGCTAATTCCGAGCTCAAGCCCCGTTTGGAGTCGGCTTGAGTTCGGCTTGAGCCGACTTAGCCGGTTATCGATGACCAAATTGGTCATCGATAACCGACTTTCGTTCTTGACTTCCTCCCTCGCTTACCATCGTTCCCTCAACATCCCTACAACGTAGAAACAAATTACCACCAATTTCCAACCTTGAAGCATGCTTTTGTGACCATCAACATGCTTTCTTCATCTCTGCTGTGGCAAATCCTAGCCGAAGGCTCAAGCAAGGCCTCAAGGCAGTTTCAGGGTGAAAGATGGTAGAACGAGCGAATATTACGAGGAGGGTGCGTTATTCAACTCTTTATTTGGTCTAACTCTGCTCATTGAAGCCCCCGTAGGTACCGATAGTCGCCTGGTGTTGTTGTAATTTACAAATGTTCTGTATACTGGTTAACGGAATATACACCTTCTATTTTGCCACCCTGCGTCGCGCAAATTCCTTAAATACTTCTCTCAGCAAGCGTAGCATGTCCCATTGACCTACCCATCTCTTTTTCTCCCTTTCTATCTACTTGTCTATTTAATGGCACCACCTGGACGACCTCGCGGACGACCTCGCAGAAAAGGACGCGGCGCAGACGCTGAACCTACAGTGGTCCCCGATGATGCGGGTGCTGATCCTGAGGCTCCTGGGCCAACTGAGACTATCACCGTACACCCAGGAGGCGCATTGAATGCGCGGTTTTTTATACCAGGTTTAGGTATGTATTTCTATCTTCAACGGCTGCCATATGTACTTATATCTGTACGTTAATTAGAACACCATAGTCCAGCTCCAGCCAGCCAGCCTCCAACATCACATGGTACACCTCCAACACCTCCGCCGCCTGTAACGCCTGTGCCCCAGCAATCCGCTCGCCGACGTAGGCGTCAGCCTGATCCTGATGACGACAACCCATTTACATCCACCCCTGAGCGTAGTTCCAGACACGCTCAACCTCTGCGTAATGTGCAGTTCTCTGGTGGCGAAACTTTCAACATCGAAGACTTGTCTGAGCCATCAACCCCAGCCACGCCTACGCCTGTTTTGCGGCCAGTAGCTGCAACTCCAAAGAGCAACCGAAGGCGCCGACGTGCTAAGCGTACAACAGCTGAGATGCCTAATATACCTGACCTTCGCCCCTTCTACGAAGTGCGTGAAGATCGAGTACACTGCATCTTTTGCTGGTGAGTATTGTTCTTTCTACGTGCAAAGGGCTACTGACTCTATGCTGGTATACTTAGTGCACAGAAGAAGTCAACGTCATTCAGCCGCTCAACAACGTCCACAAGCAATTGGCGGCGCCACCTTCTTATGAAGCACCTGGGACTCTGGGTAGAGGCGTGTGACAGACTTAAGGTAAAGATTACAGCGGACAAAGCTGAGGGTCCTGTCGCCGCATACCGGGAGTCAAAGGGACAGGACCCGAAACAGAATTCAAGCTTGCCTAGTGGGTTTGACGAGGTGCCAGGCTTCTCTTTAGAAGCATTCATTGATGCGTTGGTTGCTTTTATTGTTAGCAATGACCAGGTAGGCTTTCTTTGCGTTACTCAGATTGCAGCGTTAATGATGATCATAGTCTTTCAATGTTGTTGAGTCTCCGGAGCTCCGCCGGATATTCTTGATGCTTCGTGAGGAGCTTACCGATGATGATATTCCCTGCCGAACACAGATTCGGAAGCGAGTTATGGAAATATGGGAGGATCATTTAAAGCAGCTTTCCAAGGAAATGCAGGTGTGTACAATATTGAAGGTTTCGGAAGCCTCTTAGCTCAGATATGTGCAGGGCGCTTTAGGTAAAATCTCCTTCACGTGTGACATGTGGTCAAATGCCAACCTTGTGCCCTTCATGGCTGTCACGGCACATTGGATTGAAACCAAGGAGGTCCATCCTCCAAATGGCGGTGATCCGTATTTGACCCTTTCTCTGCGAGCTGATTTGATTGGTTTCCATCATGTACCTGGCCGTCATGATGGAGAACATCTGGCGCGAGCATTCCTTTTCATTGTTGATTGACTCAAGGGGGTCCTAATAATGAATTAAAAGACAGTGGGTCGATTAAATAATTTCGTGCACCGACGATGGACCTACCTACCTTCACGTGACATTTATGATGTCATTATGCTAAATTTGGGTATCTTTCGACTCAATTCAGTGAATATTTTGCCTGAAATAGCCGTGATATTAATATTGAAAGTGTTTTGAACATAATCTGTACGCTATCAAGTCTAAATCATGGCTGTGCTCTAATGGGATGTCATAATGTCACCATGTCCAGTCAGCAGGGCCACTTTGCAATGGCATTGACTGAGTGTTGGTATCGCTAGGTATGATGCCCTAAGGTAAGTAGCACACTCAGTAGCATATATTGTATCATGTATGCTCTAAAATTTGCCCTTGAAGTCCATTTTTAGACCCCCAAAGTGGTGGTCAACTTTTTTTTTTCGTGACATCCGGCTGGACCTACCTACCTACCCGGTGTGCCGGGCCGGAATTCCGGTACCCCCCTTGGATCGACTTCGAATTGTGTCTAAGGTATGTTCTCCAGTGTACAATGATCATTATTCGGTGTTTATATTGTTTGCAGATGGGTTGGATCAGCCTGGATAATGCATCGAACAATGATACAATGATGGCTTTCCTGGAGACGCTACTAATGCAACGCGGAATTGAATTTGATGCAATCAAACGGCATATCCGGTACGACAATCATTCCAGTACTTGCTGCCTTTTTAACTGTTGTTAGCTGCTTCGCCCACATCGTCAACCTGGCTTGCAAGGCTGTTTTGACAGCTATCACAAATATTGACTATGCCCATGATGATACCGAGTTCGTTCCGCAACCAGGATGACCAACAAATTTTATGGCCGCATGCAGACGTGATCCGATTGCTACTGCTCGTTCCATTGTACGGCTCGTGAGTCTTAGATAGACCCATTATAATCTTGGACTGTCTGATGTTTGCTTTTCAGGTTCGTGGCTCATCTATAAGGCGTCAAATTTTCTCAGAGATACTTGAATCTCTGCACATTGATAATCTTCAATTACTGCGAGATGTCGTTACACGCTGGTCATCGACTTTGCTCATGATTGAACGTGTTCTATATCTGCGTCCAGTTAGTTCTCTCCTTACATCATGTTGTATTGCTCTCATCATTGATTAAAGGCAATTGATAGCTTCCTTAGCTCTCGAGACTTTCCTGAATTTCATAAGTATCAACTGAGTAGTGCAGAGTGGGGTGCTCTTTCTGATTTCAAAGATATACTTGCTGTGCGCTTATTTTCATTCAGGAACTTCCCAGCTGACATTGCTTCCCAGGTTCCGCACGCATTTCAGCAAATTCTCTCATGTGAAAAGACGCCATGCATTTCTGACACCATCCCGGCATTTGAAGCAATGCAATTAACGTGGGAGGAACTATAGAAGGAAATGCCCCATGCTGCCAACGTTATTGCGAAGGGCCTCGATAAACTTGCTGAGTATCGTAATTGAGTTGGCAATGTTCCGATCTATTCCTTGGCGATACGTATGTCATTCTCTAGCTTTCAATTCTTTACTCACATCTTAGCAGTTATCCATCCTGCATACAAGCTCCAGTGGTTCCAGAAAAACTTGCCAGGGGAAGTTCTTGAAGTCAAGGATCTATTCATAAATACGGTGTGAGCTTTATGTCATTTATCATTGATCCTTCCTAACTTGTTTTGATAGCTTCGGAAATACCACAATATGCCGGATCTTCACACACCAGTGCCACCGACAACCTCAGATTCAGGAAACCCGCTTATTCGTGCTAGAAATATCTTACGTTTGGACAGGCATGCTAATGCTACCAGTTCAGAACCGTGGCACAGCCTTGACATTGAGGTTGAAAGATATCTCTCGGATCTGATCAGAAGTGATGTATCAATTCTGATGTTCTGGCAGGTAAGCATGCAACAATTCAGCTACTTAGTCTTTAGTATTGATGTGTTATATCAGGAAAATCAGAAGCGTTACCCAACAATCTTTTCATTTGCACTAGATGTTCTGCCTATACAAGGCACTGCTGTGCCCTCTGAGCGGGTATTCTCCAGTGGGAAAGAGACTGATACTCTGCGGCGGAATCGGCTAGGTGCTGATTCAATGGAAGCACTACAGATGTTGAAATTCTTGGTAAGAAAAGGGTGGGGCTTGAATTTTATGGAGGGAACAGATGAAATGTCAGAGATTCGTGAGCTGGAGTTATTAATCGAGCAGCAGACATCAATTCCGGAGGATATGCAGGCATTTATCAAAGGCCTTGTCTTAGAAAAGGGCAATGACACATTTTAATTTATCAATTGCCTTATTTATACATTAGTCTGAACTCAAGCCGGCTAAAGCCGAAGTCTAGCCTGAGTTCAGGTAATAATTTTGGCTATAGCCAACTCGGCTAAGAGCAATTACCAAAGTCGGAATAAGTCTAGCCGAGCCGAGTTTAGCCGAGTCGCGGCAACACTAGTCCAAAAGGTCCTTAAAAATTTTTTGCCCCCCTCTTGTAAAATATCATCCAGAGAACCTAGACACTGCTAGAGATGTTTATTTCAGCTGATATATGCAGGGTAATGACCTCACATAACCCAAAGAGTGCCGGAAAAGCAGTCAAATCGATGTTGAAGGCTTGAAGCGACAATGGCATGGTGCCGGATATCAGCAGGATTAGTCAGTACTGAGTTACCGGCCGTAAAAATATTTTTGAGTTCTTTCTCTGCTTTTGCTCCCAATGACAATACTGCGAATTGGTGAGTTGAAATTGAATACATCTGTGTTGGAATGCTCACAAGATTGGATAGTATCACATTCAATGCGTTGGCCTGGAACGATGGGTCCCAAATTGGAAGTGTCGGTCATGTACAGTAGGAAAGCGTCGTTGCTAGCAGACAAAAACTGTATATCATCAGCGTTTAGATCGAGGATGAGAGGACTACGTAGGTGGAAAGCTTGCACTGGCAGGTGACTCCGACACGGAGTGATTACATGATGTTTCCCTTGTGGGTATGTTTTTCCCACGGCGGTCGGTCGGTCGGTCCATCGAGGCCTTAAAAATTTTTTCGACCTGATATGATTTTTTCGGTTTTTGCGACCCCCTTGCTGATTTGGGCGACCACCTCAGAAGTCTGGGTGAAGGTAGAAAATGAATACTGCTGCGGGGGGAGGGCTATGAGGAAAGCACGCACCACATGGTTCGCATCTCTTGTCATATAGGATGTAGTACTGTATTACAGCAAAACCATTGAGTGTTAAATAGATCATCAATTGATGAATAATCAAACGGCTGCACGCGTTTTATTCTTGATATCCATCAGGAGTTTGATCGTGAGACAGACAGATACTGGCGTCTACTATGCCCATTGCGCGAAGCCTATCCAATGAGCGAAGAATGTTGTCACATAATACGCCAGTCACTCAGCACCAGTAAACCTTCTCAGCCTGTGAGATATCGAACAAAGGTAACGCATACTCGACCGTGAACGCGATCAGCCTGATTATCTGTGCCTTGTGATGATGAACTCTGTAGGACACATCAATCTTGGGGGGCAGTGTAGATAAATGCTACGTACCTGGGATCCCGTTCCCTTGGAGCGACAGTCGATGTTCCTGGAGTGATTTCATTGAACCTCTTCCAGTCCAAATTTCACCATTGAACTCGCTGTGGCGGAAATAAGACGACAGTCTTGCTCAGATTATCACCGGTAGGTTAATTTTTATTATTAAAGAAAGATGGGAAATGCCGCACCCCAAACCAACTCCAAACAGTGTCACCTGGAGAGTGTATAATTGACACCTTTCCGAGCGGAAACAGGAACCTAAATTTTCATCTTTTCGGCTACGTGATGGAAGGGTGTCTTCAGAGGCTAGAGCACTGACGGTGGAAAATGGGAAAACTAGAGTAATTGGTCACTGAGAGAAGAGCGGCACCGGGCCGGTGGCTTCATCACCACCACGATATTGCCACAATAACAATGACATTCTCGTTATCAAGATGACCGTCTTTTGGTCTCACTAGCTAGGTACATGGATTGGTATGGCACTTTCCGAGTCGATACCAATGGTACCATCCTGGAGGCCCTTCAACATGCGATGAACATATTTATCGTCTCCCTCATGCTCAGGCTGGCTCCTGGGATCATCCTCACGTACAAAGTTCCCGCTGCTCATATCTTCCTGAGAGTCGGCCGGGATTCAATTACCGTCTCCCTCGTGTTGTGCTTCGAGGTCGTCGCTCATCATGGAATCCTGCTGACTCCGAGAGAGTCGACCCCCAGGACGTGACCCAAAGCGAAGCGAACCCGATATTACGCTTCCCTTCCAAGAGTCGTCTGGACGTGAGTGGCCCGCTGCGACGCGTCCAACGAGAAGTGTCGGAGCGACTCCCTACATGTCGATTAGATGGGGAATTTAGGTAAGAGTATGGGCGTACCCTTGCGATTCCTGCCAGGACATCAAAGTAACCCGATGCAAGAGAGTCCCGAGCAATAAAAACCACGTATAAGATCAAGGATACGGAATAAAGAGCCGACGATTCAACCAGGATCTCAATAATATTGCGATAAGCTCTGGGCCCACCCCCTGTTTCTCTTCCTGCTCGTGCAACGGCGATGATGCGGTAGACGATGAGCAATGTACACCACAAGGTCGTTGCAAGGACAAAAGACGTATAAAGGATGAAAAACAGATAATAACTGTTGTCGGGATCGGTGATTAATTTGTATGTAGCGATGATTTTGAACACTACGTTCAGAGGAAATAGGTGAGCTTTCAAGCTAATGGATCTGGGTGATCTTACCGATTGCGGCAGTGAGAACAAAGGTTGGAAGTAAAATAGGTAGCCACCTGCGTCCCCATACCATCCAACAGCGGATAATCTACAGTTCAGATAATGATACGTTGACGTAGAAATTTATGACGGAAGCGTACACACCATGGTGGAGTCTGCAAGGATGGTACACACAATGCCTGTGGTACCTATCCCCACTTCTAACATCACGTTGGAACTGCTCCAAAACAGGTATTCGGTCCAGAAGTTCGAGCCATTGCGAATGAACATAGAGCTGATGTATGACCAGACGAACCCAAAGTTGAGCATTGTCACAATATGCAGGAGGACTACAACGAGGGCCATGGATCGTCGGATAGGCTGAGCCTTGTTCGTAACTGTACCATTCACATCAGCTCGCATTACACTGTAGACACGTTTCTCTCACAGATGCTCCACAACGTGATAGCAACAACACCGGTGTATACGCCTACGCACAGTCATAATTAGACTCTTGACAAGTACAGACAAATGAACATACACACCGCTCAATAGAGAGTAGAGTACTGTTGAGTTCAACTCTTCATCGCGGACTTGGAATATAATGGCTTTATCGGCATCGGTAAGGTCTGGCGGGATGCTGGTCTGAGCGGTAGCCATCGAGGAAGGTACAACTGTCAGGAAGGTAATAAGCAAAGTACTCTTTGACGATGATACATATCACTCTTTTATAATGCATGGAAGTTGCGGTGTGAAAGGCCCACCGAACGTTAAAAAGATGATCAACATATCAGGAAGATGATACTTTATGGGTGACGGGAACGCAACATCAGATAGGCACGGAGATATTGTTGGAGTTACTGTGGCTGTACGAGCCGTCGGGATCAACCGGCTCCGAACCCGTTACTTACCGTACCCGCAGTTTTCTTTTCTTTACCGTTTACCGTTCCTTATTGGGACCTTGTGCCGGTAACAACACCAACACCAACACCACCATGTCGACATACTAGGTATAAACGAGTTGCTCATTTTCGTTCCCTCCCGTGCTCGAATCTCAACAGATATATCCAACGGAGACGAGTACAAGTAGTTCGCATCCATAAAACCTGATAGGAAAAGAATCTAAAGCATCACAACTGTCCTAGTACAGCTTTATTGATAGATTTAACAGGGGGAAAAAAAATTGAACAGCGCACTGCTAACACGCCGTTTGATGAGCTGAACTGGTGCTGTTTCGGAGAAAGCAAGGTCCCAACTACGAGTATCTTCCTCCATTAGCCGTCCATCACCCCTGCACTCGGTGAGGTTTTCACCTATTGAAGCAACGCCAGTTAGCCCTTGACAAGCAAAAAGAATAGCCATACCGGGTACAATGCACCAAACTCATAGCATTAACCGGGAGCGCACACAAGTCAACGCTCATATTCCGATACCGATTGCCTGTCTATCTCAGCCTTCGAACTGCAGTTTGCCCCGGTAATCGTGCCATTTGCGTAGGAGAATGATGATGGACGGGATGTTGGACGAGGTACGAAGCAGTTCAAATAGGGAGTTATGTACAAAAACCTTTGGATTCCCTTGGAGTGTTGTAGCTCCCACTCAACGTAGCACAGAAAATACACTCCCTGCTGCGCTTCTGCGTCTTCTGGATTGCCGGACCCAATTCTGCATCATGTCGCGGTAAAAGGTTCGATATTGTGGACGACGCGTTGTAGCCTCTGGTACCTGCCCTAAATTAGTTAACTTGTTCACCGGCTACTTATCACCCCACAACTGCCACCTAATCCTGGAATTTCGTTGCGACATTTGTCTTGAAGTCGTGGCATGGACGTCCGAGTCAGTCGTAATCGCTCCCTTGAGCGTTCCTGGTACATTCCGAGGCCTCGCTCATTGGACTAGATTCTGCTGGCTCGCAAGCTCATGGTAACTTTGCTTTCGTCGGGGTCGGTGTGTTAGTTTGATCTCGCTGCGTGCGGTCGGGTACAGTGTTGGTCGGTGATGTTCGTCAAGATGGAATTCGGCGTTTGCCGTTGGCGCTCGGGCCGTTTACGCCGTATGTTCGTGTTCTTCCAGCTTCCAACCGGAAAATTCTGGTCCGAGATAGTCAGTCTTAGTGACGTGCATATGTTCGATACCGGGGAAGAATTTTTCCAAGCCCTAATATTCTCACCTCGTCATTATGTCTGTATCCCCATGACAAACACGTAGCGCGACCGGTGCACTCCGTAACCATACCACGCTAGCTCCAACTGCGCATCTAGTGAGGAAAGGACGCGTCGTTTCGCCGTCAAAAGCTAAATACAACACCCCATCAGCGCAGTGGCTTCATATCATCCTTACCGACGCGTTGACTATGACAAAATCACTCGATGTTACTCCAGACAAAACGTCCGTAAAATTGCTGTTGCACTTCTGGATATCCTTCCAGGAAACGAGGGAGCAGTTAGAGACCTCGAATGCGAGCTTCATCATGTTTCTCTGTGCTCATCAGTGAGCGAACTTACCACCAGTAGGAAATATGACCCGGAGGATCGAAGTTATAAGCAATCCCAACTGATGGGAAGTATTATGAAAGAGGTTGTCGAATGGCTTCCCGATATATGGCTTGCAATGGCTGGAAAAAATGTGGACATGGGCCTTATTATCCAGTGCTTGAGCATTTGTTCATCCGCCAAAGCTAGATGAATTGGTCACTGAGGAGAAGATTGGCACTGAGCCGGTGGCCTCATCACCACCACTCTGATACTTAAGTATTGCCACGATAACCATTTTCCTCTGTAGTCATCTTCGTGGCGAACGGCGAGCAAAGTCGCCATCGACACAGACTCTATCTTCAATAATCAAACTATACTTCAATAATTATGAGCTACTTTGGATCCTCAAGGGCGGAGGCAAGATAAATAATGCGATCATTCCGTGGTCACCCACGAGATTATCCCCGCGAATGTCATTCTCGTTATCAAGATGACCGTCTTTTGGCCTCTCTAGCTAGGTACATTGACTGGTATGGCACATTGCGAGTCGATACCAATGGTACCATCCTGGGGGCCCTTCAACATGCGATGAACATATTTATCGTCTCCCTCATGCTCAGGCTGGCTCCTGGTATCAGTCTCACGTGCAAAGCTCCCGCTGCTCATATCTTCCTGAAAGTCGGCCGGGATTCGATTACCGTCTCCCTCGTGTTGTGCTTCGAGGTCGTCGCTCATCATGGAATCCTGCTGACTCTGAGAGTGTCGACCCCCAGAACGCGTCCCGAAGCGAAGCGAGCCGGATATTACGCCTCCCTCCCAAGAGTCGTCTGGACGGGAGTGCCCCGCTGCAACGCGTCCAACGAGAAGTGTCAGTGCGACTCCCTACACGATGCCATTTAGTTATGGAATTTGGGAAAGAGTATGAGCGTACCCTTGTGATTCCTGCTAGGAAATCAAAGTAAGCCAATGCAAAAAGGTCCGAGTAGCAAAAATCATGTATAAGATCAAGAATATTGAATAAAGGGCCGACGATTCGACCAGGATTTCAATGACGTTTCGGTAAGCTCGGACGCCATTTCCTATCTGTGCAACGGTGACAATGCGGTAGATGATCAACAACGTACACCACAAAGTTGTTGCGAGGATAAAAGACGTATAAAGAGTGATAAACAGAGTAGAATTATCGAGTGGATCGGCGATTTGTACATATGTACCAAGGATTTTGAACACTTTGTTCAAAGTAAATAGGTAAGCTCTTAAGCTAATGGATTTGGGTGATCTTACCTATCGCGGCAAAGAGAAGAAAGATTGGAAGCAAGATAGATAGCCACCTGCGTCCCCATACCATCCAACAGCGCACAATCTACAGTTCAGATAATGATGTTGATGCAGAAATTATGACGGACGCGTACACACCATGGTGGAGTCTGCAAGAATGGTACACACAACGCTTGTAGTACCCATCCCCACTTCTAACATCATGTTAGAACTGCTAAAAAACAGGTATTCGGTCCAGAAGTTTGATCCATTGCCAATGAACATAGAGTCTATGTATTTCCAGACAAACCCAAAGTTGAGCATTGTCACAATATGCAGGAGGACTATAACGACGACCATGGATCGTCGAATCGGCTGAGCCTTGTTCATAACTGTACCATTCACGTCAGCTCGTACCACACGGTAGACACGTTTCTCTCACAGATGCTTCCTAACGTGATAGCAACAACACCGGTGTATACGCCTACGCAGAGTCATGATTAGACCCTTAATAGGTCCAGACAAATGAACATACACACCGCTCAATAGAGAGTAGAGTATTGTTGAGTTCAACTCTTCATCGCGGACTAGGAATACAATAGCTTTATCGGCATCGTCAAGATCTGGCAGCGGGATACTGGTCTGAGCAGTAGCCATCGAGGAAGGTAAGTAAAGAAGTATTCTTTGACGATGATACATAGCACTCTTTTATAATGCATAGAAGTCGCGGCTTGAAAGGTCTGCCGAACGTAAAAAGATGATCAGCATATCAAGAGAAGACGATAGATCACCTTCAGTGCCATGGTGAAGAAAGGAAGAGCATGAAATTTACTTTTAGCTTTGCGTCGCCATCGGCATCCGGTGGTGGGAACGTAACATCAGATAGGTACGGTGACGTGGAATGTCAGATATACCCAACTGAGACGAGTACAAGTAGTTCGCATTCATAAAATACCGATAGGACAAGAATCCAAAGTAAATCAACTGTCCTAGTACAACTTTGCTGATATATTTAACATGAACAGCGCGCGCACTCACACACCCTTTGATGAGCTGAACCGGTCCTGTTTCGCAGAAAGCAAGGTCCCAACTACGAGGATCAGCTTCCTCCATTGGCCGTCCATCACCGCTGCACATGGCGAGGTTCTCGCCTATTGAAACAACGCCAATTAGCCCTTGACAAGCCAAAAGAGTAAGCCATACCGGGTACAATATACCAAGCTCATTACATTAACTGGAGCGCGCGCAAGCCTGCGCTCATATTCTGGTATACTGCCTGTCTCAGCTGCCGTTTGTCCCGGTAATCGTGTTATTTGCGTAGGAGAATGATGGACGGGATGCTGGACGAGGTACGAAGCAGTTCAAATAAGGAGTTACGTACAAAACCCTTTGGATTCCCTTGGACTGTTGTAGCTCCCGCTCAACGTAGTACAGAAAATACACTCCCTGCTGTGCACCTGCGTCTTCCGGATTGCCGGACCAATTCTGCATCGTATCGTGGTGAATGGGTCGGTATTGTGGACGACGCATTGTTTGCCTCCAACAGGTGGTAACTACCCTGCATTAGTTAGCCTGTCCACTGGTTACACATCCTTCCTTACCCGCCACCTAATCCTGGAATTTCGTGGGGACATTTGTCTTAACGTCGTGGCATGAACGTCCGAGTCGTAATCGCTCCCTTGAGCGTTCTTGCCAGTATATTCCGAGGCCTCGCTCGCTGGACTAGATCCTCCTGGCTTGCAACCTCTGCTTTCGTCAGGGCCAGTTTGTCAGTTTGATCTCGCTGCCTGCCGTCGATTTAGCACTGGTCGTCGATTTGGTCGGTGATGGTTCGTCAGATGGAACTCGGCGTTTGCCGTTGATGTTCTTGTGATGCTCGGGCCGTTTACGCCGTATGTTCGTGTTCTTCAACCAGCTTCCAACTGGAAAATTTCTGGTCTGAGTAGTCAGGGTTGGTGACATGTTGGAAACCGGGAAGGAAAATTTCCCAGGCCTAATACTCTCACCTCGTCATTATGTCTGTATCCCCACGAAAAACGCGTACTGCGACCGGTGCGCTCCGCAACCGAACCACGCCGGCTCCAGCTGCGCGTGCAGCGAAGAAAGGACGCGTCGTTTCGTCGTCAAAAGCTAAATCCAACATCCCAACGGCACAGCCGCTTCACAACCTCCTTACCGAGGCGTTGGCTATGGCAAAATCACTCGATGTGACTCCAGACAATCGCGTCACCCTTCGAAACGTCCGTAAAATTGCTGTTGCGCTTCTGGATATCCTTCCGGGTGACGAGAGAACAGTTAGAGACCTCGAATACGAGTCGCACTATCTTTCTTTGACGTCGTTGGCAAGCGAGCTTGCCGCAAGTGAAACAAACGACCCAGAAGATAGATGTTATGAACAAATCCCACTGATGGAGGGGATCATGGAGGAGGTGGTCGAATGGCTTCCCGATATATGGCTTGAAATGGCAGAAGAAAATGCAGACATGGACCTTATCCGCCGATGTTTGAACCTTTGTTCAGCAGCTGCGGACGATCTGTTCGTCGAATATCTATTTTTCTTATGTTACGGGAGATTAACCATGCTATTGTATAGTAGGGGGGAGTTTCTTGACTGCACAAACAGGCTGGTCATTGCCAACTCGGAGAAGAAGACGATCTATGATCAAAGTTACTACGTTGTCGACTATATGGCTTGGATGTGGAGAGAATCCCTGATATTCTCAGCCATCCAAGGGCTGCCAGTCCCGCCTGAGGTCATGAAAGATGATGAAATCCATGAACAAATTTTCAGTCTATTTTGTCAAGATACCACTGGTACGTTTTTCGCATACAAATGTCTCCCTTTCACTTGACTGACGATGGTGGAGACCCAAGAAACGAGGATGGCTACGCTTTCTGGGACAACCACTGGTCGCCAGAAATGAAGGCCGCCGACTGTCTCTATGCTAAACGTCACAATCACTGGATTGCCGAATTTATCAAACTACCATCGTTTCCACTGTACACCTCTTTGGTGTCACAATATCCCGACATCAAGCCCTGTATACTATCGACAATCAAAAAAGGACTCTTTTCGGACAAGCCCTTCATTCGGTACTCGGACGCGGCGGAGATCCTGGTAGCAGCATCCCAAACCGAAGACATCGTTCGTCTGGTTGATTACTTGAGCGGAAAGGGCTTCACCCTCCACACTCCAGCCATCCTTATCATCGTCAAATATCTCTCCAAAGTGACCGACAAAAAGCTTCGCACTCGTGCTCTACAAGCCGTCGAAAAGGGGCTCGAGACGTCGAAGCAGGACGCGTTAGATGCCGTGAATGGCCTCTATCCGGGACTCAAAGTTGCACAGCTCTGGCTTCGTCGTCTTCGAGACTCAGGGCAGTTCCCTTTCGATGACGACATCCACCATGATAGATACTACGAGCGGGAGGCAAACCTTCGTCGTTTCGCTGAGTGTGCAGTCAGTGGAGGTCCTCTCGCTGACCTCGACTGGGTGCCTCCGGTAAAGAATCGGAGAGAGGTCTATTCCGAAGATAACAATTATGAAGACGAACCCCAAACGTCGGAACCTGACTTGGCACAGTCCATCCAAGATTGGGCGCAGATTTTGGGCAAGTGGCCTGATGAAATGGCAGCTGCAGAGGTTTGGAATAGGATCAAGTTTGATGGCTCTGAGTTGCCGTTTTCTGCCGTGGAGGGTGCAGAAGAAGTGTTGATAGATCGCATTGAGCACGCCGATTCGGTGCAGTGGGAAAACTGGCGTCAGGCCAATCCTCTCCCGCCACCGCCATCAAAATGGCAACACCGACTGCGACCGCGTTTCTGGAGTTTTCCAGTGTAGGTCTTTTCTTTCAAGATGCCGTGTTTGATGGACTGATAAAACTTCAATAACAGTTGCGAATCCTACGACTTTTCCAAGGCTCCCAGCTCCGTGTACCTTTATGTCACGGATGGCCTGCAAGCGCTGAAGATATTCTCTTGTCAAGATCACCGCAGTTTACGCAGATAAATTGACGTGTATTTGATAGTAAAATTCATTGCAATTATACCCTGTACAGGCGTTGTAACTCATCACGGCGATGATGCCTGCACCGTCGCAATTCTGACAGCCCAAAATCGACAAGCTTGAAACGAAGGAAAATCTGTGCCGCATTACACAGCTCAAGTTCCTGTCTTTAACAGCAATTGAAAGCATGGCAAGCTAGAATGGCGAAGAGAGGGTCGGGATTGATGTGGTCCTGCAGAGCGACGGACGAATGATCCATCAAAGCTTGAGTGGTGGGGAAAGGTTTTGGCTGAAACTTGTGAGGAGGACAGATCAGAAATTATACCGACTGTTTAAAGAACTTACCTAGCTGAGCAGGCGCCACGTTCCGTAGCACGAGCACCTGATGCAGAGAAACAGCTTGTGAGCATCGGCTTCTACAGCCATCATCAGCTTAGTTTGAGTGGCATCAAGAGAGGGGAGCGAAGGATAGCCGGGGTGTTGAACACAGCAAAAGCGAACACGTCCTCGCCGTATGATCATTTGAGAATGAAATCAACATCACCCCTGGTCAAATTCACCAGCGTAAGACCGGCGTATGGAGCATCAATACTGTATCCGAGGGGCAAACATCCCAGCGATACCCTCAGCGACGTGCTATACTGCGTTCTTTGCCAAATGCTGGCATCGTTCACGATTTCAAAACTTGAGTTCGAGCTGTTCCATACCTCTACAAAACTGGTTAGTTCTTTTGTTTCTCCTTCACCTGATATCTCATCCTAGATGTTTGGGGCGAACTTGTCGCGAATCTGGTCGGTCCGTTCTGACTGTGGCGTCAATTCAGCACTGGCCTTTGACAAGATGGAGTTCGGCATTTGCCGTCGGTGCTCGGATCATTTGGGCCGTATGTTCAACACGTTCCTCCAACTTCCAGGTGGAAAATTGTGGCCTGGATATGACCGGTATTAAAATGGCCGATATCGCGGAGAGTATTTTCCCAGGCTTGGAACTCACACTTCGCTTGCCATGTCCTTCTCTCCACGAAAAACGCGTAGCGCGACCGGTGCACTCCATAACCGAACCGCAGCAGCTCCAGTAGCGCGTCCAGCCAAGAAAGGACGCGTCGTCTCGTCGTCAAAAGCTAAATCCAACATATCACCGGTACAGCGGCTTCACGACCTTCTTACCGACGCGTTGAATACCGCAAAGTCACTCGAAATGACCCCTGACAATCACGTCGCCCTTCAGAACGTCCGTAAAATTGCTGTTTCACTTCTGGATATTCTTCCAGGGGAAAAAAGAGCAGTTAAAGACCTCAAATACGAGTTGCACGATATTTCTCTGACGTCGTTGTCAAGTGAACTTGCCACGAGCGAAAAATACGACCCGGAGGATAGACATGATGAACAAGGCCCCCTGATGGATAGGATCATGAAGGAGGTTGTCGAATGGCTTCCCGATATCTGGCTCACAATGGCTGAAGAAAACGCAGACATGGACCTTATCCGCAGATGTTTGATCCTTTGCTCATCAGCCGCCGACGATCTGTTTGTCAAATGCTATTTCTCATGTGTTGTGCGATACTGACGAATCTTATCCTATTCCAGCGGCGGCGAATATGACTGCACCGACACACTAGTCATCACAAACTCGGAGAAGAAAACGGTCTATAATCAAAGTCACTATGTTGTCGACTATATGGCTTGGATGTGGAGAGAATTCCTCGTATTCTCAGCGGTGCGAGGGGCCCCAGTCTCTGTCTGTGGGGTCATAAGGGATGATGAAGAGTATGAACAGATCTTCAGTCTGTTTCGTCAGGATACCACTGGTACGTTTTTGGCGTCACGGATGTCTCCCCTTCGTTTGACTGACGACGGTATAGACCCAAAAAACGAGGATGGATATGCTTTCTGGGACGACCATTGGTCAGAAGAAATGAGGACCATCGCTAACCGTCTTTATGCTGAACGTCACAATCACCGAATCACTGAGTTCATCAAGAAACCCTCTTTTCACCTGTACACTAAATTAGTGTCAGATTATCCTGACATCAAGAGTTCACTTCTATGCTCAGTCAGAGAACGACTCTTCTTAGACAAGCCCTTCATTCGGTACTTCGACGCGGCGGAAATCTTGGCAGCAGCCTCCCAAACAGAAGACATCGTCCGTCTGCCCGATTACTTGACCGATAAAAACTTCACCCTTCACGCCCCAACCGTCCTCATCATCGTCAAATATCTCTCCAACGTGTCCGACAAAAAACTTCGCACTCGTGCTCTCCAAGTTGTGGAAAAAGGGCTCAAGACGTTGAAACGAGACACGTTAGATGCCGTGAACCATCTGTTCCCAGGACTGGGTGATGCACAGCTCTGGCTTTGTTGCCTTCGAGATGCCGGAGACTTTCCTTTTGACGACGATACTCTCCACGATAAATATAACGAGCGGGATGCAAACCTTCGCAGCTTTGCCGAACGTGCAGCCAACGGGGGCCCGCTGACTGACCCCAACTGGGCGCCTCCAGTAAAGAAGCCTGAGATTCAGAGGGAGTTCGATGTCGAGGATGAAGACGATTATCTTGAAGAGGTGCCTCAACTGTCGGAACGTGACTTGGAGCAGTCAATCCAAGACTGGGCTCAGGCTTTGAGCGAATGGCCTGATCAGAAGGCAGCGGCGGAGATGTGGAATAGGATCAAGTTTGATAGCTCTGAGTTGCTACTTTCCGTCGTGGAGGGTGCAGAAGAAGCGTTGATGGACCGCATACAGAAGGCCGACTCGGTGCAGATAGAGAAGTGGCGCCAGGCCAATCCTCCGCCTCCTCCCCCACCACCGCGGCCAAAATCGCAACCCCGACCGCATTTCTGGAGAATGCCAGCATCGTAGGTCTTTTCTCTCAAGAGGCTATGTTAGATGGACTAATAATAAATTGTATAGCAGTTACAGATCCTACTATGACTATGACAGGTCTCCCAGTCGCGTGTACAGTTATGTCATGGATGGTCTGCACGCGCTGATCAAGACGTTCGCTTGTCAAGACCATCGCAATTTGTGCAGATAGATTCGTATGCAGTATTCTGATTTCTTCCATTCGTCAGTATTTTGGTACGCAAAATATAGCTAAGTAGTAGATTTGGCATGGCTATAAGTTATGAAAAGGTTCAGTTTTGTTGTGGTCCCGCGGAGCCTTAGGCACGACAGAGGAAGAATCCCTTCGCGAAGCTTGAACGACAAACACAGAATATGTCCTGACCGAGGAGACAACTAGAGACGGTATTATTATCCAGCTTTGTACGGGATAGACGAATTCTTACCCAGACGGGTTATCATATTAACGAACCCTGCACAGAATCTTCCATATTTGCCGCCATTCATACTCAGAGCCGTGCCTAGACATCAGATGAGCTCCGACTATCATAGTTATGTCCCTGGCGGCGAGCATCATCTGGAACTTTTGAGCGAGGCGCTGACATGAGCAGGTATTGGATAGAAATCCTCTCACCATGCGATTGGTTGAAGACGATATAACGATCGTTCCACATCGAATCCATCATCTCAGAGCTTGGTGCATGAAAACTTTATCCAAGGGGTAGATAGCCTGGGCGATATCCTCGACAACATTTCACGTTGCGTTTATCGCCCAGAGTCCGTAAGAGTTAACATCGTCTAGTTCCAGCTGCTCTGTGACGGAAAGTTCGTTTTCCATGGAAGCTAGATAGTTATGGCCTTTAGAGAGGTCAGAAATCTCGCGACAAGATGTAACCGGATTGTTATATCTTCTGGGGCGGCAGGAATAGTAGTATTTACTGTACTGTGTAAAAGGGCCAAGGTGCAGTGTTAGGTAAATTTGCGGAGTACAAAGAGAAATCGTCAGGCCCAAGCACCATTCTTCTGCATAGCATTAGTCGGTGTCAATGTGCATATCCTCTACAGTGAGGTAAAGGGCTTGGGTTATGGTGGGTGTTGGTGCCAAAGGCCCGAGAGAAAAAGGGCCGGGCCGGTGGCTGGTCTGACCTGTTTCCACAACTGCGATGACTTCGACCTCCGACCTCGCACCTTCTGGCTCTATATCCATCGTTGAGGATATTCACGGAACGCACGACATGTTATATTTAAGACTGGCATCGACTGGACGCAGGATAACGATAACCAGCGGTATGGAGCAGCAGGGTTCATTGAAATCGGGAGGGAATTCTAAGCGCAGTCTCGCGCTCGAATTTGAGGAGAAAATGCACGTCTACTCTGAGGCTGCTCAACCTATGGGCACGTAACATTGGTCTTCACTCTTGTTGACTTCCTAACTGTTACACAGGCACGTCCAGTATCACTTGAAGTCGAAGAACGTTGGACGGTTCGCGACGATACCCTCTGTCAACAACAATCTGGGATTCATTTCCATCTGCGAAGTTATCATATCTGAGCGAGCATCCTAGTATTCGCAGAGTAGTGAGGAATTGTCCTGTCAAACTAGCTCTTAGGGCCGAATTCAAGGAAAAGCGAATTCTCGATCTAGGCTGTTGAGAAGGTCGAGGGAAGGCTGATACTCGTGTGAATAACACAAGTCCGTCTCGTCACCATATCTACTTTTCCTGAAACTAACGACGTCTGCAGGAACGAGTTACGTGTCCCCACCACAGCAACCCTGTAACATCCCAGTCGATATCATCCAAAAGGCCTCCAAGTTATGTAATGCCATTCGAACCATGCAGACCTTTCTCCGTGGTGACATATCGAACATATCGAAGTCCGACGCCATCAAGGACTGGCACCACATCTCATACGAGTCTCTCAAGACATCCTTGAGTAATCGCGCTCCTGCCCAGTTAGCATTTTTTTCGCCGACTTTTGACCTACGTCATGCCTGTGCTGGACTACGAGGGCGTCAGACTCCGACGATAAGTGACGCACATCTTGTCACTACCATTCCGGACGATACCGCACCAGGCACCCCCATTGTCCATGCCTTTTTTGCCATGGATCCCTTCTCCGACGACCATTGACGTTATGCATATCGTTCGCTAATACTTGCGAGGTGCATGCATGTCCAGCTTATTCAACTGTATTCGTGTCACTTTGTTGCGCAGTCTGCGCAGTCATATAATAGTGGACGGTAACCAATCTTTGATGTGTGGAATGACTGCGATTCCGTAGAGGCAGATAAACCAATCTTACGGTTCAAGTTGTTTTCCTCCAAAATGCGACCACAAGGTCAACGTACACCAGCATGGCGCAATCCCTTCCAGGCTTGCCCTAAATCAGGTTCCAACACTAGGACGACGCAACACTATCAAGAGACCGGTATGTCCATTGGACCGAGCTAACCGACCTATACGAGCTGGTGCTCCATAATAAGCACATATTCTCACCCAGGTGGACCTATCATCGGGATTCGGCCCCCCTTCAAATCCGAGTAGACAGAGAGCAAAAATAAGTGCTTCTCTAATGATAGGCAAGCTTCTTAAGAGCTCAAAGGAAGGGAGAAACAACCCACCGCAACTCCTTCCCAATGGTTTCGACTCTCCTGTCAGCCTGTCTTCTAATCGGTGCCACCCTGGTATTATATCGTCTATCCCACCTTTTTAATTGTCGACGCCTACCCCTTCCTCCTGGACCCAAAGGACTCCCGCTGATAGGGAACCTCTGGGATGTGCCCGTAGACTACCCATGGCTAACTTATGCTCGATGGACTGCCACCTACGGCGATGTCTTATATCTGGACACGCCCGGAAATCCGACCGTTATAATCAACTCGGTTCAGGCAGCGACCGATCTCTTCGAAAAACGTTCTGGGAATTATTCTGATAGGCCGGGTAAGGATGGATGATCCTTCAATGTCTCAGTGTTGACAATGTCACGCAGATTTCACCATGCTAAAGCTAGCAGGATGGGACTATAACCTTGCTTTTATGCGATATTCTGATAGGTGGAGGTCAGTGCAACTGCCTTGTGGTCTAATTCTTCTCCTTCCTTCTTATCTTCACAGAACACACCGCCGAATGTTTCATCAATACTTCCAGCCTCGTGCCGTTCCGGCATACTACCCTGTGCAAATGAAAGCCACATTAGACTTGCTCCAACAGCTGCATAGATCCCCCGATGCGTTTGTTCAGCACGTCCATCAGTAAGTTGGGCGTATCTCTGTAGCTTGATCGCTGGAACTGACAGCTCTCCAGCCTTGCCGGTTCAATCGTTATGAAAACTGTCTACGGATATGATGTAGACCCAAGTGGTGATCACTTCGTGGAATTGGTGGATCAGGCTCAGGAAAGCGTTCACGCCGCTGGGATCATCGGAGCCTTCCTCGTTGATTACATTCCCAGTTTACAATACCTTCCGCGTGAGTATGCTTTTATTTAACCGCTATCCTGGAGTTTATACTAAAGGCGGCGTCATTAAGGATGGATGCCTGATGCAAAGTTCTTTAGCCTTGCGTCCGCATGGAGAAAAGACGTTGAGGATATGACAGAAGAGCCGTTTAGATATACGATGGAGTCATTGGTATGTCCTTGCTTGTTGGTTGATATCAATTGCGATCCATATTGACGCTTAATCAAGGAAAAGGGCAACGCACCCCCTTCATTCGTGGCGGAAAACTTAACAAAGAACGAATCGTCAGAAAATGCAAAGCACCTCGAAATTGTAAGGAATACGGCTGCGGTTGCTTATTCTGGTAGGCATTTCTCCGCGCTTGTTGAACATTTGATCTTATGCCTATACCTTGATTAGCGGGAGCTGACACTGTGGGTTTTCATTCCGAAGTATCGTTCGGAGTCTAATCCTTCTAAAGACCGTGTCTGTCATCCTTTCCGTGATACTCGCTTTCCTTCTGTACCCGGAGGTACAAGCTAAAGCCCAAGCTGAGGTGGATGCCGTCATCGGTCATGGCACCCGTCTACCGAATTTCGATGACCGTCCGCAGCTATCCTATATTGATGCCATCGTGTTGGAAGCACTGAGATGGAAACCTGTTGCACCGATGGGTATATGCTTTCAGATCAGCGAGTATGCTTGAGTTCATAAATTTTGACGGCAGGTATTGCTCATCGTACCAAGGAAGGGGATGTTTATAGAGGATATTATATCCCTGCGGGTATGTTCCGATTCCCTTGATACCGTCAGTTAATGCTTATCGGTCTTCCATAGGCGCCACTGTTATTGGCAATGTTTGGTCAGTCACAAGTTAATCTACGATATCGAAGCCTCGGATTGACAGACGGCGTAGGGCCATGCTTCACAATGAAAAGGACTATCCTGACCCTCTGGTGTACAATCCCGACCGGTTCATGCCCCAAGATGGTAAAGAAGTCCAACCTGAGCCCACAGTCGTGTTTGGTTTTGGAAGACGGTACGCACCCTGTAATATAATCACGTCCAACGACCCTAATGATGTTATTATAGTATCTGTCCTGGCCGTTATCTTGCATTAAATACTGTTTGGATTGTTGTTGCATCTATGGCTTCAACGTTGTCGTTCTCCAAGGCGGTGGATTCTGAAGGTCGGGTCATTGAACCGAGTAATACCTATACGAGCGCTTTTGTGAGGTAGGTCTTCCACGTCGGAGATTCTATGGCATATATTGATTCGAGCATAGTTTTCCCTTACCTTTCAAATGCATGATCAAGGCGCGTTCGGCTGCGGCGCAGGCGTTGTTAGATTAGGTCAGATTGCACCTCTTTTGAATCGACTGCTTTGGTCAGAAGGCTGGTTTACCTTCCTGGTTATCGTAGTGTACGATGAGCCTTTTGTATCCTGAAGTCGGTGTATGTGCTACCGGGTTTAATTCTCTTTGATCTTTTAACACTCGTCCGTGCGGATTTTTGTACGACTAAGCATTGTGCCCATCGTTATTACTGGTTCTTCGTAGAGTATATGCAAAGGTCCCTGTTGGAGAGTTCCAGCACCGTAGGTTATTTTCTCTCTTAAGAGATATGTTCGATAGGCTAATAATAATTCTGTAAAACAGTTACAGATCCTTCTATGACTGAGAAGTCTCCCAGTCGCGTGTATATGTATGCCATGGATGGCCTGCAAACATTGATCAAAACATTCTCTTGTCAAGACCACCGCGGTTTGTACAAATAGATTTACACGCAAATTTCTGATTTCTTCCGTTCGTCAGTATTTTGATACACACAACGTAGCTAATTCGTAGATCTGGCATGGCTAAAAGTTATATATGCTTCGGAAGTCTTTGAGCAGAGCAATGGCACGGAGAATGGCTCGAATCTCATAAATTTTGCGTAGCTATTGCCGTGTCACGAAAGGCACCATTGCGACGGTTGAGCTTGAAGTTTAGCTTAAATGGTGGAGAAAGAAGCACAATACGTCCACCAAGGCGACGGCGTCCATTGCAAAATTATGTCGAGGTAATAGCATAAGACGGTGATCAAGAAACTTTACTTAGAGAGACTCACCGCCATCCGCGGTTCAACGTTCAAGCTTCACCCGGATGTCAGACGGTGCAGAGAATGTACGTACTTTCACAGCCGTGCCCTCGGCGCCAGCTTGGCTTCGAGTGGCATCAGGAAATTTCAGGCGAGGTGCTGACGGTGCTGACATGAGCTCTCACCATCTGATCGTTTGAGAATGATATCAAGATCGTTCTTCGTCGGGTGCACAGTCTCAGAGCCTGGTACACAGATCGAAAAAGGGATTCCGAGTCCTATGAATATAGGTATCGGTTATTATGCCAGTTTGGATTATCGTGGGAAAATCTATTCGAGGTATCAAACCTTATCGGGTTTTGCCGACTCGCCCACCTGGCCTTACCGTGGGAATATTTCTATTCAATGCCGTCTTTATCCGCTTGCCTGACCCGTTACTTTCCGTTTTGCTTCCACTGTTTCACATACTCGCTTTCTTCCTCTTCCGCCCGGTTTCTTTCTTTCTTTCTTCTCATTCGACTTTCATTTTTTGCTTTCTTTTTCCGTCTTTCTCTCTTATATTCTCGTCATTTCTTTCTATTCTTCCTCATCGCCCCATAAATCAGCTCGTTCGTCATCTCTACTTCGTCTATTTCCACGTAGCTTACTCTGTCATTCCAATATCTCTTTCTTTCTCTCCTTCGAAATGTGCCTCCGCCTCCGCCTTTTCCCCTTCTGCTCTGTACCTTACCGTCTCTCTCCTGTGCTTGCCTCCCATCTCTATCTCTTCCTCTTCGTACTCGAACCCGATTCGTCGTTTCATCTTCGGCGTGCGTTGTGGGTCCTTGTCACTCGCAACACTCTTGTTCTTCGCAGTGTTCTGAAATAATGTTAATTTGTGTGTTTATTTGTTCATTGCTCGTGGCTTACCGCAGTGTGGTCGCAATATCATTTTCATCCTTATGTGGTCTCCTCAGCACTTCACGAATACGACGGAGCATCGCGCTTCCACTATGTCGCCTATCCTGAACATATGTGGCCTCGGTTGGCTGGTATTGTTTATTATGGAGCACGACACTTCACCGCGCGATTTGTAGATGCAGAGAACCAAGTATGGTTTAACGACGGCATTGCATTAGGTAGACATTCGCTACATGAAGGTCATATTGACGACGTCAACATGATGCGAGACAAGACGGGCAAAGACCGTGACATGTTCATATACAGGCAGGCCAATATATGAAAACTGGTGTGCCCGACGGAAAGAAAATTCATAGGACTCGGACATGCCACGCAGATGCGTTGGCCCTCACCCCACTAGTAAATAGTCTGGACGATCTTCTTCAGCGATTTTCAATGCTGCGTTCATCGCCCTGCCCCGAGTACCATCATCCTGAATATACTGCCTACGAATCTGTATTGCATGAAATAGCCTGGAATTGTGGTTAGGGTTCGTAGGACATAGGGTGAGGTGAGGAAGATGTGTAGAGGGTAAAGCAGCGGCCTTGTTCGGGCCGGGAGTCTAACCTTAGCTTCAACCGCGACGACGACGATTTTCTCTGATTCCAATCTGGCCACGCATTTATTCCATCAGGCCCAAGCTCAAGGATCCATGTGGACTGTGACATCACCTCTCTGACTCCGTGTCCATCGTTGAAAAGCGTCATGAACAGTGCTGTGCTTGTGTCCGTCTCGAAGCTGACCCAACACCATTGACCATAACGACGTGTCACATTAGAGCTGGATTCAAGGGGAGCACAGTCTCGATGTCAGATACGTTCAGCGGAATTTAGTTCAGGCTGTGAAAGAGATTATCGAGAACGTCGAGGACAGGCTAATACTCTTGTGAACAACTCAGGTCTGCCTTGCCATTTATCTACATTTGCTGAAAATAACAACATCCTCAGGAATAAGCTGCATTTCCGAACCATAGCAAGCCCGTAACACCCCAGTCGACTTAATCTGAAAAGCCTTCAAGTTAGCAGACCTTCCTCCCTAGCTTCACGAATCACCAGAGGACTGCGCATACACGTTGAACATATCAACTTTCAGAGCTTAGAACGTCATCTTCGATCCAGGCTGCCCAAGCTTTTGGTATGCATACGGCGGTGGCGGCCCCGAACTTTTACTCGGTCACACTGATGAAGGAGATTGAAGAGGAGGATCAATGTGTGCCAGGCAGAAACACGACGCTTGTTCTGTGGAAGTTGGTGGGAAGAATATGAGGTTCTTTGGCAGGCACGATTAACCAGCGTTCAAGCTCGAGTACCGAAGCCATAGAGACGGCATGTTTTCCCCAATATCTCTCACTCCTACGACCCATCTCGGGCTAGTCAACTTCCGGCACGCTAAATTTCATGTCGAGGTGGAGGGGAGACTACGGAAACCGGCTGCACATTCAATTCTATGTTCAGTGAGTGCTGAAAAAAGTGACAGTTTCTTTTACTGAACCCTCGCATAGGGACCGCATATATGCGGGTATTCGATTCGAATAGCACGACACCAACATACTAACAGTCACGCCGGATCGTACTCTCAAAGGCTAGCGAGTTCGTTACTATATCGTGAAAACCTTGTGATCTCTTTACCTTGGATACATAACCTTTTGAAGTCTGCTATCATCAGGGATTGGTACCACATCTCTTACGAGTCTCTCAAGACATCCTTGAATAATCGCGCTCCTGCCCATTCGTCATTTTGGTCAACTTCTGACCTACGTCCTACCAGTGCGGGGCTACGAAGAGCGCGACTATGGAGCATCAGCCTCGGGGACGATAGTGACGCACCTCTTGCCGTCCTTACCATATCTGCCGCTACCAGACGACACTGCATTAAAGCATCCACGTTATCCACGCCTTTTTGCCACGGATTCGGTTGGCGTTACAATCTCTGCCTTGCCTTTATTCCATTCACCAGGAGAGGACAAGTCAAGGTCAATATCATGACATCTCTTCTCCGACAGTCATTGAATTGAGGTCGCCGCCGTATCAGGACCGTGACCCTAGCTATTCCTGATTGCCTCGTGCCCCTACCAATGCCACCACTAACACGACTCAAAATCCACCTGACGTCCATTCATGCCGTTCGCTAATACTTTCGAGGTTCATGAATATCCAGCTGATTCAATCGTATTTATGTCACTTTGATGTGCGGTACTCCAATCTTTCATGTGCGAAACGGCTGCAATTCGCATAGAAGCAGACAGACCCATCTTATGGTTGGTTTTCCCGTTCAACCAGGTCGACATATGCCATCAGCGAACAGTCTCTTCCAGCCCACTCTAAGTCAGGTTTTGACACAGACGACGCAATACTATCAAGAGACCGGTATGTTCAGTGGACTGGGCTACACCAACTGGTGCTCCATAATAAGCACGTGTTCACACTCATGTGAGCTATCATCAGTTCCCGTTCAAATATAAACAGAGAGCCAAAATAAGCCCTTCTCTAGTGATAAATACAACTTCTTAAGGACTCGAAGCAAAGCAGAAACCACCCACGGCAATTCCTTCCCAATGATTTCGACTCTCCTGTTGGCATTTCTTCTGATTGGTGCCCTGGTATCATATCGTCTATCCCTCCTTTTTAATCGTCGACGTCTACCTCTCCCTCCTGGACCCAAGGGACTCCTGCTGATAGGGAACCTGTGGGATGTGCCCGTAGACTACCCATGGCTTACCTATGCTCGATGGACTGCCACCTATGGCGATGTCTTATATCTGGATATACCCGGAAATCCGACTATTATAATCAACTCTACCCAGGCAGCAGCGGATCTCTTCGAAAAACGTTCTGGGAATTATTCTGATAGGCCGGGTAAGGATGGATGATACTTCAATGTCTCAGAGTTGACAATGTCATGCAGATTTCACCATGTTGAAGCTGGCGGGATGGAGCATTAACTTTGGTTTTATGCGATATTCTGATTGGTGGAGGTCAGTGCAACCGCCGTGTGGTCTAATTCTTCTCCTTCCTTCTTATCTTCACAGAAAACACCGCCGAATGTTTCACCAGTACTTCCAGCCTCGTGCGGTTCCGGCGTACTACCCCATGCAAATGAAGGCCACGTTGGTCTTGCTCCAACAGCTGCATAGATCTCCCGATGCGTTTGTTAGGCATGTCCACCAGTAAGCTAGGTGTATCCCTGTAGCTTGGTCATTGGGAACTAAGAGCCTTCCAGCCTTGCCAGTTCAATCGTCATGAAAACTATCTACGGATATGATGTAGACCCAAATGGTGATCACTTCGTAGAATTGGTGGATCAGGCTCAGGAAAGCATTCACGCCGCGGGGAACGTGGGAGCCTTCCTCGTTGATTACGTCCCCAGTTTGCAATACCTTCCGCGTGAGTATGCCTTTATTTAATTGTCAGCCTGAGGTTCATATTGAAGGTGGTGTCATCAAGTATGGATGCCTGGTGCAAAGTTCTTGAGACTTGCGCGCGCATGGAGGAAAGACGTCGAGGACATGACAGAAGAACCGTTTAAATATACGATGGAGTCGCTGGTAGGTCTTTGCTTGTTGGTTGATATCATTGGCGATCCATATTGATGCTTAATCAAGGAAAAGGGCAACGCACCCCCTTCATTCGTGGCGGAAAATCTAACAAAGAAGGGAGTGTCAGAGGATACGAAGCACCTCGAAATTGTAAGGAATACGGCTGCGGTTGCCTTTTCTGGTGGGTATTTCTCCGCCCTTGTTGAACATCTGATCTTATGCTTAAACCTTGATTAGCGGGAGCTGACACTGTGGGTTTTCATTCCGAAGTATCATTTGGAGTCTCTTATTCTTGCAAAGACCGTGTCTGTCATCCTTTCCATGATACTCGCCTTCCTTCTGTACCCAGAAGTACAAGCTAAAGCCCAAGCCGAGGTGGATGCGGTGGTTGGTCATGGCACCCGCCTACCAAATTTCGATGACCGTCCGCAGCTGCCCTACATTGATGCTATCGTGTTGGAAGCACTAAGATGGAACCCTGTTACACCGTTGGGTATGTGCTTTCAGATTAGCGAGTATGTTTTCGTTCATAAATTTTAACGTCAGGTATTGCTCATCGTACCATGGAAGAGGATGTTTACAGAGGATATTACATCCCTGCAGGTGCGTTCCGAGTCCGTTGATATTGTCAGTTAATGCCTATCGGTCTTCCATAGGCGCCACTGTTATTGGCAACGCTTGGTTCGTCCCAAGTTAATGTATGATATCCAAGTCTCGGATTGACAGACGATGTAGGGCCATGCTTCATGACGAAAAGGACTATCCTAACCCTCTGGTATTCAATCCCGACCGATTCATGCCCCAAGATGGTAAAGAAGTCCAACCTGAACCCACAGCCGCGTTTGGGTTTGGAAGACGGTACGCATCATGTAATATAATTCCACCTGGCTCCCATGCTAATATCCTTCCAGTATCTGTCCTGGTCGATATCTTGCGTTAAATAGTGCCTGGATTGTCATCGCGTGTATAGCATCGACTTCGTCGTTCTCCAAGGTGGTGGATTCCGAGGGTCGGGTTATTGAACCGAGTGGTACCTATACGAGCGCTTTTGCGAGGTGGGTCTTCCGTGCCGGATATCCTATGGCATGTTTTGATTTGAGCGTAGTTTTCCCATGCCTTTCAAATGCATGATCAAGGCGCGTTCTGCTGCGGCGCAGGCGTTGTTTGATTAGGACAGATTGCACCCTTTTTGGATCAACTGCTTTGGTCGGAACTCTGATTTACTTTCCTGGCTATCGTAGCGTACGATGAGCCTTTTGTATCCTGAAGTCTGTGTATGTGCTACCGGGTTTAATTCTCTTTGATCTTTTAACACTCGTCCGTGCGGATTTTTGTACGACTAAGCATTGTGCCCATCGTTATTACTGGTTCTTCGTAGAGCATGTGCAAAGGACCCTGTATCTGTACTGAACGCGAACGAAGTATAGTTTCGAAGAAGGCTTTCAGAGCTTATGGATGGAAAAGATCAATGATCTCGGTGATTGTAGGTACATAGTACGAAGGATATGTTTCTTGGAAAAACTATGAATCACGTGAGAACACTGAGCTGATAGTCGAAAGAAGCATAACGCGTACACTATCCAGAATCCAAGATTTTAAAACATTGCCACAGCATCTAGAATTAATTCACGGCCGCTTTGCTTCAGCCCTAGAAAATTTCCCTCCATTTGAGCTTTGAGCGGGTCCCATTCTGCTGGCCGTGGATCAAAAGTAATTGCAATGCACTCCAGCGAAGCCATCCTATAAGAAGTCAAACAGCTGTCCAACCTCATCCAGAGGTCTTTCCAATCCAAAGCCGGGTGTCCTTGGTGCGGCGGGTATGTTCTGATTGTGATGGTAACTGAACGAATGACGCTGCGTTTATTCACCGCGGAGAGGTTGGAGATCCATCACCGCAATATTCGAGATACGAGATACGTCAAGTGCTGTTGACGATAGACGGTTCGACAATCCTGTAAGCGGATGTAAATATAGGGACAGTCTGATCTTTAGTATAACAATCTTACACACCTTGCTTGTTATGGTTTACATTGGGATGCTTGAGAGAAGTGTCCGGAAGGGCTAAATACTGCGCGAGATGCTGCGGAACGATAGCGTTCATACCAGAAAGGTCTACAACGAGTGTACGAACGTTTTTGAAAGAAAACGGGCATGGATGGAATGATAGGGCTGACTTCAGAAGGCCGGGTGCCTGAGAAACTAAAGTGTCCTGAGAGTCTGTGATATGCAAGGCTACCGGAGCGGCGGTACAATGAAGGGAGTGGTCCAAATGGCACTCCGGTATGGGATGAAATTTGCACGTGAAGTGCACTTGTCGTAAGTCAGGTGAATTTTGCATTAGTGAGCATACATCGCCCATCGTTCTGAAGTTGAAGTGCTCGCCGATGTGGTAAGAACGGGATTGCAGACTGGACACAACGGTGTCTGGCATGTGGCACCAGAATCCATTGCAAAGGTCCAAGTGGGTGATATTGACAAGAGATTCGATAAATGTCAGCGGTCCGTAAACTGCAGGAGCATGGATATCCAACATCTGCAAGATTGAGATTTGAAGCGCTTTGAAATATAGGGTGAGCTTGGGAGATAGCGTGATCAACTTCTGGAGGTGGTCAGAATCAGAGCTGCCTGATATCACGACGACAGAGAATAGGTGGACCCTGGTCCTGGGACAAAGGGCCTTGCAAGCTAAGGATGCTTGCTTTAGAGATTTCTTGTTGTCCTACAGCTCGTCAATGATGGCATCGAGAATTTCTTGTGGGAGACCTGATGGTTTGGAGCGTTGTGACATTCTAAGGATCGATATCAGATAAGTAGGTCAGAAAGAAACAGTGAGGCAGGGAATTTACTTGGTGCTGGGGACCAGGAGATGATGGGTTATAGCGACTGGGTGATGCGCATCGCAAAATTGATGGTCGGAGTAAGAAGGACGAATAAATATGAACGTGGCCGACTATCATAACCTCAGTCGGCTACTTCCAGTCAAATTAACACGATGTATCCATTTCGATCGCAGGTGAAAATAGTTTAAGACCATTCTAGTAAAGTAGATCGACATTCCATGCCGTAGCCTTCGAAAGAAACAGAGAATCCGCGGTGCATCTTGAGCGATAATGACTGACGGGTCGTTATCTTGACCGTGATTGTTGTCGTCTTCATTTTCTTCCTGGCCATTATCAAAAGTCCAATGTCATAGGACATGAGAAAGACAACCATCCGTACAGTTAGAGAGCCTTGAACAAAACCCGATGGCTGAAATAGCGAGAAAAGGTTCAGTTTTAATGTGGTCTCGCAGGGCCTTAGGCGCGACAGAGGACGATTCCTTTCACGAAGCTTGAATGATAGGAACAGAATATGTCCTGACAGAGGAGATGCGACTAGAGACGGTATTATTATCCAGTTTTGTACGGGATAGATAAATTCTTACCCAGACGGACTGTCATAACGAGTCCTGCACATAAACTGTCATACTTGCCGTCATCCATACTCAGAGCCGCACCTAGACGTCACATGAAGTCCGACTATCATAGCTATGCCGTTGGCGTTGAGTATTGTCGGGAACTTTTGAGCGAGGCGCTGATATGAGCAAGGATAGCTATTGAAGGTATTGAATAAAAACGCTCTCGCCATCCGATTGATTGAGAACAATATTAAGATCGTTCCCCGTCGAATCCACCATCTCAGAGCCTGGCACATGAATGATTTATCCAAGGGGTAAATAGTCTAGGCAGTATCTTCGACAACATTTCACACTGTATTCATCGCCTAGAATTTGTAAGGGTTGACATCATCCAGTTCCAGCTAGTGCTCTGTGACGGAAAGTTCGCATTCCATGGAAGCAAGAGAATTATATCATGTATAGAAGCCAGAATTCTCGCGACAAGAGTGCAGTCGAATTGGTATATCTTCTGGGGTGGCAGGGATAGTAGTATTTACCGTGTAGAAGGCAGCAGTACTTGGTAAATTTGCGGAGCACAAGGTACGAGAAATCGCCACACCTGAGTACCATTATCCTGCATAGCACTGCTATAACTGAAGTCGCTGTCAATGTGTATATCCTCTAGAGTGAGGTAAGGACGACGCGGCTTGAGTGATGGTGGGTGCTGGTGCCAAAGGAGCGGACTTGTTCGGGCCGGCGCCCAATCTGACCTTCAACCACAACTGCGATCTCTCTTCTCAAAACATAGTCCGACCTGCGACTTCGCAACTTCTGGCTCTGTGGCCATCGTTGAGGATCTTCACGGAATGTATGGCATGCTATTTCAAGACTGGCGTCAACCAGATGCAGGAAAACTGGCGGCATGGGTTCATAGAGCAGCAGGGTTTATGGAATTCAGGAGGGAATTTTAACCGCAGTTTCGCGCTCGAATATGAGGAGAAAAGCACGTCTACTCTGAGGCTGTTCATCCTGTAGGCACGTTCAAGCTTCACTTCTGTTGACTTCCTAACCATTACACAGATGTCCGATATGCTTGAAGTCAGAGAAAGTTGGACGGCTTATGACGATACCCTGTATCAACAACAGTCTGGGATTCATTTCCATCTGCCAAATTATCAGATGCAGAGTAAGCATCCTAGTATTCACAGAGAAGCGAGGAATTGTCCTGTTAACCCAGCTCTTAGGGCTGAATTCAAGGAAAAGCGGATTCTCGATATCAGCATGTTTGGTTGAACATTGTCGACCATTTCAGTCCAGGCTGTCGAGAAGGTCGAGGGAAGGCTGAGACTCGTGTGAATAACACAAGTTCGTCCCGTCACCATATCTACTTTTCCTGAAACTAACGTCTGCAGGAACGAGCTACGTGTCCAAAGTACAGCGACCCGGTAACATCCCAGTCGACATCATCCAAAAGCCTTCAAGTTAATACCATTCGAACCATGCAGACCTTTCTCCGTAGTGCCATATCGAACATATCGAAGTCCGACGCCACCAAGGACTGGCACCACATGTCCTACGAGTCTCTCAAGACATCCTCAAGTAATCGCGCTCCTGTTCAGTTGGCATTTTTTTCGCCGACTTCTGACCTACGCCATGCCAGTGCTGGGCTACGAGGACGTCAGACTCCGACGATAGTGACGCACATCTTGTCACAACCATTCCGGCAACCAGGCACCCCCATTGTCCATGCCTTTTTTGCCGCGGATCCGGTTGGGGTTACAACCTCGACCTTGTTTTCACTCCATTTGCCAGGAGAAGACGCGTTGAGGTTGATGTGATGACATCCCTTCTCCGACGACCATTGACGTTATGCCAGGACCACGACCCTAACCTGTATTACTGATTGGATCCTCGTGCCCCTACTGCCACCACCAATACAACTCTAAATATACCTGACGTCCAACCATATCGTTCGTTAATACTTTCAAGGTGCATGCATGTCCAGTTGATTCAACTTTATCCATGCCATTTTGTTGTGCGGTCAATATAATAGCGAGTGGTACTCCAATCTTTGATCTGCGGAATGACTGCGATTCCGTAAAGGCAGATAGACCAATCCTACGGTTGTTTTCCTCCTCCAACATTCGACCAGGTCGACGTACACCAGCATGGCACAATCCCTTCCAGGTCCGTCCCAAATCAGGTTCTGACACTGAGACGACACAACACTATCAAGAGACCGGTATGTCCATTGGACCGAGCTATACGAACTAGTGCTCCGTAATAAGCACATGTTCACACTCAGGTGGACCTATCATCGGCCCCCATTCAAATGTGAGTAAACAGAGAGCAAAAATAGGACCTTCTCTAATGATAAATACGACTTCTTAAGGACACAGAAGAAAGCAAACACGGCAACTCCTTCCCAATGACTTTGACTCTCCTGTTGGCGTTTCTTCTAATTGGTGCCCTGGTATCATATCGTCTATCCCTCCTTTTTAATCGTCGACGTCTACCTCTCCCTCCTGGACCCAAGGGACTCCTGCTGATAGGGAACCTGTGGGATGTGCCCGTAGACTACCCATGGCTCACCTATGCTCGATGGGCTGCTACATACGGCAACGTCTTGTATCTGGATACGCCCGGCAATCCGACCATCATAATCAGCTCGGTTCAGGCAGCAGCGGATCTCTTCGAAAAACGTTCTGGGAATTATTCTGATAGGCCGGGTAAGGATGGATGATACTTCAATGTCTCAGAGTTGACAATGTCATGCAGATTTCACCATGTTGAAGCTGGCGGGATGGAGCATTAACTTTGGTTTTATGCGATATTCTGATTGGTGGAGGTCAGTGCAACCGCCGTGTGGTCTAATTCTTCTCCTTCCTTCTTATCTTCACAGAAAACACCGCCGAATGTTTCACCAGTACTTCCAGCCTCGTGCGGTTCCGGCGTACTACCCCATGCAAATGAAGGCCACGTTGGTCTTGCTCCAACAGCTGCATAGATCTCCCGATGCGTTTGTTAGGCATGTCCACCAGTAAGCTTGGTGTATACCTGTAGCTTGCTCGACGGAAACTAACAGCCCTCCAGCCTTACCGGTTCAGTCGTCATGAAAACTATCTACGGATATGATGTAGACCCAAATGGTGATCACTTCGTAGAATTGGTGGATCAGGCTCAGGAAAGCGTTCACGCCGCGGGGAACATGGGAGCCTTCCTCGTCGATTATATCCCCAATTTACAATACCTTCCGCGTGAGCATGCTTTTATTCTAACCGCTAGCCTGGGATTTATATTGAAGGCGGTGACTTTAAGGATGGATGTCTGGTGCAAAGTTCTTGAGCCTTGCGCGCGCGTGGAAAAAAGATGTCGAGGACATGGCAGAACAGCCGCTTAAATATACGATAGTCGCTGGTAGGTCCTTGCTTGTTTGTTGATATCAATCGTGATCCATATCGACGCTTAATCAAGGCAAAGGGCAACGCACCCCCTTCATTCGTGGCGGAAAATCTAACAAAGAAGGGAGTGCCAGAGGATACGAAGCACCTCGAAATCGTAAGGAATACGGCTGCAGTTGCCTTTTCTGGTGGATATTTCTCCGCGCTTGTCGAGCATCTGACCTTATGCCTAAACCTTGATTAGCGGGAGCTGACACTCTAGGTTTTCATTCCGGAGTAGTTCAGAGTCTCTAATCCTTGTAAAGACCGTGTCTGTCATCCTTTCTACGCTACTCGCTTTCCTTCTGTACCCAGAAGTACAAGCTAAAGCCCAAGCTGAGGTGGACGCCGTGATCGGTCATGGCACCCGTCTACCGAATTTCGATGACCGCCCGCAGCTGCCCTATATTGATGCCATCGTCTTGGAAGCACTAAGATGGAACCCTGTTGCACCGCTGGGTATGTGCTTTCAGATTTGCGAGTATGTTTTTATTCATTGGTTTTGATGTTAGGTGTTGCTCATCGTACCATGGAAGAGGATGTTTACAGAGGATATTACATCCCTGCGGGTACGTTCCAAGTCCGTTGATATTGTCAGTTAATGCTTATCGGTCTTCGTAGGTGCCACTGTTATTGGCAATGTTTGGTCAGCCACAAGTTAATCTATGCTGTTGAAGCCTCAAATTGACAGACGACGTAGGGCCATGCTTCATGACGAAAAAGACTATCCTAACCCTCTGGTATTCAATCCTGACCGGTTCATGCCCCAAGATGGTAAAGAAGTCCAACCTGAGCCCACAGCCGCGTTTGGTTTTGGAAGACGGTATGCAAACCCTGTAAAGTAATTACGTCCAACGACCTTAATGATATTATTATAGTATCTGTCCTGGCCGCTATCTTCCATTAAATACTGCTTGGATTGCTGTTGCATCTATGGCTTCGACGTTGTCATTCTCAAAGGCGGTGGATTCTGAAGGTCGGGTCATTGAACCGAGTAATACTTATACGAGCGCTTTTGTGAGGTAGGTCTTCCACGTCGGAGATCCTATGGCATCTTTTGATTCGAGCGTAGTTTTCCCGTGCCTTTCAAATGCATGATCAAAGCGCGTTCGGCTGCCGTGCAAGCGTTGTTAGATCAGGATGGATGACACCCTTTTTGAATTAACTGCTTTGGTCGGAAGTCTGATTTACGTTCCTGGCCATCGTAGCGTGCGATGAGCCTTTAGTATCCCGAAGTTGGTGTATGTGCTACCGGGTTTATTTCTTTTTGATCTTTTAATACTCGTCCGTGCGGACTTTTGTACGACTAAGCATTGTGCCCATCGTTATTACTGGTTCTTCATAGAGTATATGCAAAGGTCCCTGTATCTGTACTGAACGCAAACGAAGTATAGTTTCGAGGAAAGGTTTCAGAACTTATGGATGGAAAAAATCAATGATCTCGGCGATTGCGGGTGCATAGTACGAAGGGCTGAGAGAGGGCCAATGAGGCCACTCGGCACATACTTGCGAAAAACTGGTCAGTTCTCTCTCCTTCACCTGATACCTTATTATAGACGTTTGAGGCAAATTTCTCACGAATTTGGTCGGTCGGTTCTGACTGTGGCATTAATTCAGTACTGGCCTTTGACAAGATGGAGTTTGGCATTTGCAGTCGGTGCTCGGATCCTTCGGGCCGTATGTTCAACACGTTCCTTCCAACTTCCAGGTGGAAAACTGTGACCTGAATGTGGTCGGTATTAAAATGGCCGACATCACGGAGGGGATTCTCCCAGGCTTGGAACTTACACTTCGCTTACCATGTCCTTCTCTCCACGAAAAACGCGTAGCGCAACCGGTGCAATCCGGAAGCAAACCATTCCAGCTGCAGCAGAGCGTTCGGCGAAGAAAGGACATGTTGTTTTGACACCAAATCCCAAAACCAATGTTCCATCATCAGGAAAAACCTTCGAGCATTCCAAGCGGATGCAATTGTAATACAATCACCAAAATCGATTGGAATTAATAAAATTGACTACAAGGGAATACCTGCAACAGGCACATGTTAGAATGCTCTTGCAATCGAAATAGAAGCGCATTCCAATTTCAATACTTTTGCATTCCAATCGAAGGACATATGAGATAATGTGCACTCCTTGCCATTAGATTAATGTATATGCGAGGCTTAATTGACAATCACATGGGGGAATTTGATAGAAAAAATATGCATATATAAAATGGTATAATAAAAACAAATCATATACACATAATTAGTTCGCAACACTAGGAGCGATGCACAGCTTCTATCATAACCCGTCCAGACAATGTCACCTTCCCTTCCTCGCCATCATTGCTGTTCACCCCCCTTGAAAACTTTTCTAAAGAAAAGCATCAGCGATCAAGTAACTGGGAGAAAGAGATAGACGACCCCGCTCTGCGATATTACTTGTAACTCTTGATTGATACCATGGTTGAACTTTGCACAGCTGAGTTAAGCTCTGACACCTATGGTGAATGTTGGTTGGGATCTAACCAAGGAACCATATGTAACATCAGTACGTGAGCAGGACAACGGTGATACGCCTGGTATCAGGCTACCCGTAGATTTTGCGATTTTACATCAGTTTATGCAATCTACAAGCGGTACAGAGGGCTACAGTGGAGGCTTCGTGCTGGTAGCTAAATACTACATAAAGAATGAAAGCACGGCAGTACAGAACGGACTTAGAAACGACATCTCGAAGAGTCAATTCTACCAGCCATCAACACGCCAAGCTAAGCCCTACCTAAACAAGACTATTACAGTCAAATCTCGGGGACTCGTCTGTATGGAGTATAAAAACCAAGAAGTTGAAGAATGGAACGAACTAGATGCCTCGTCGCCTCGACGAGTAGAAAGAACCTGTCAGGAAAAATTGCTAAGTCGAGAAACAGATCAGCTTTCGAGATCAACTCAGGCTAGGAAAGGAATAACCTTGGAAGAATGAATAGCCATGTTGGGTACCGAGATGACCGACCTTGATCGCGCAGTGATCAACAGAATACAATCTCGGACCTGCAGTCGATCGCGATCAGTGGTTACATCCTCGAGATCCTGCGCATACTGCAGTATTCAATACATACGGCACGTGGCAAGCCTTGCAGACGGAAGAAGGAGCACCCACGGACTAGTAGGGCACTCCTCGGCGACAGAATAACCCGGCGCAGTCGCGTCGAACTGAATAGAAACTACGGAATGGCGCGATACTTGTAGGATAGTGACTCACCGTTTGTATTAATTCCAAAGCTCGTACCATAATTACTGTAGATACGGGCTCCTATACCTAGAACACGAATCGTATAAATTAGCAGCGACTAGACGCGTAATGGCAGGAAAGCATTCCCCCCACGTTTGTGCTAGTAGCCTGTATAGCTACCTAATCAATCACTGGTTTTATTGCATATCCTCGACTGAAGTGAATTAAGTTACCAAAGTCAACCCATAAGGGCGACTACAGTAATCTAGAAGAGTTAAGTAGGAAGTAGAGCCGTCCTCGCGTTTGCGCCTTGCTAGTTAATTGAACTGCTCTGCGGACAAAGGCCTCGTGTTCTCTCTCTCCGAGATTAGCGATCTAGACGTGCTGAGTCGACTTTAAGTCAAAAGACCTCATCTAGTTGAAGTAAAATAAGCCCTAGAACACTTTAAGTTCGAACAATTGTCGAGTTCAAGGAACTCCAGAGTCTGTGTACTCTTTGCAAGTCTCGTACTTGAAGTCAGAACCTGTGCGTTCTTTGTAGAGTGATTTCGCACTCTTTGTAGACCTCGGAGTCTTTGGTTGTTTGATTATTTGAAGTGTCCGCTAGAAGCTCTTCTAGACGACGTCAAAACGAGTATAACTTGCTCGACTATACCTTACAAAACAAGTTCATAAAACCCTGCTATCGCGGACTAATGTACTTTGTGTAAAACACATCGAAAGAAGAATTGAAGTTGTTTTCAGACAAACCCCACTAGATTATCTAAATCTAAGTACATCATGAGTGCTTCTATCGTACTCACCCTCGAACTTATATACATTGGTGATAGTGTGTGTGTGTGTGTGATTAAGTATCTAGATTGACGATCTAGACGCTTGTTTCATTTGCGTGCTGCCCGTTACCGAGCACATCAACGGATGTAAGGGCATACCTGACATGCGAAGGCCATGAAGATAGAAGAGGGGATCCTTTGGACGTCAAAGGCAACATGAGACTTCAATGAAATCTGAAAAGATGAACACATACCTGTTGACGCTGCCCTTCAATTGATGCCCTTATTCATCTAGGTCATCCTAATAAAGAGAGTGGGCACTCTTTCGGGGTAGTGAGCTTTCTTGGGAGGCCTGAGAAAGCGAATTTGAACCCATCGATGCTGGTCTGAGTGATGGTAAGGATGCAAGAATGAGAAATCAACAAAGCAACACTTTTAGAGTCTGCATTGTTTGTATCATAAACAATGCATCATGTGACTTTCGTGTTGCATCCCTCCAAGTCACTGACTCAGTAACTCTGACTTTGCATCTTCGGTTATCTTTATTTCTGTCTGTTCCTACGAAGAGCTGGCAAGTTAGATGATATACCCAGCTGAGTTGCTTATATATCGTACACAGTAATCGCACCATTTCTTATTTCTCAGGTCTGCCAAGTGCCCTAGTCTGCCAGTGCCAGTTGGACACAGCAATCTACAGCTTGAGTCCAATGCGGTTTCAGATAGCAAATGGTATGATGGTAGTCATGAAGTTGGGATTGGGGCAAGACCAGAGGTGCCTTAGCATCCACTTGTAACATATAGAATCCATTGGAATTGGATGGGAATCTGAAAGCAATCTTTTTGAGTTATGCAATCAGATGACAAGCCAATAACAAACATCAGATCAATTCCAATTGGACGGTAACCGGTGGGAACCAGATAGCAGAAATGGAAATGCCATATTCAATTACAATTAATTACCATTTCCGAGAGTTTTTCCTGATGATCGGTACAGTGGCTTCACGACCTTCTTACAGATGCATTGACTATGGCAAAATCACTGGAAGTGACCCTGGACAATTGTGTAGCCTTTCACAACCTTTGTGAAATTGCAGTTTCCCTTCTAGATATTCTTCCAATGGGGAAGATGGCTGTTAGTCATCAGTGAATTGGACAAAAATATATATGCCCGTATAAGTCCGTGGCAAAGGTCAAAATGCATGGCAACGTCCAAAATAATTGCATGAGCCTTATATGCCCATATGAAGCGTGAAAAATTGATAATCCTCCAAGTATGGTTATGAGCTGTTTCCAATGTCAGTAATGCATGTCAAGCTTTGCAAGGTACCAACACAATTACTTGATGTCATATGAAAGTATGATGCAAGCAAAATCTTAAAGCGAGTTCATAATACCTAGTGATTTTCAGGTGGCCTGCTGTATATACTACACATATTTTCACTCTTAGAGACCTGGAGAGACTGAGACTTGAAATAGCATATTTATTACTACCATAAAGAGAATACAGGTGCGTATATATGTTTAATGCTGTGCCTGTTTATATAGATGGGCTTGAATTTATACAGGCTGCATGTTCTCCCCTGCTCCCCCCTCTTTGCTGCCAGTCACTTTCCAGAGCTCTTGTGTCAACAACCAACTTTAATCGACTTAGATCAACTAAGGATCGCCACTCGCACTTCGGTGGACGATACTCTTAGAGGTCAAAGGAGATATAAAGAAGTCGATCAAGGACTTAGATAGTCACGAAACAGGGAGCTTTGAGTTGGGTAGATTAAACCTTAGCCGAAGCTGGGGTTTAGACCAGCTAAGGCTCTACTTAAATACACTTGGATATGCTAATAATAGTACAGTGAGAAACTGTCCGTTATGATCGCATATGAGTAATCAGGCTGAGTAAAACGAAGAAAAACGAATAAACCGTAACATTACCCCCTCTCTAAGACTCGTTCGTCCCGAATGAGTACTCAGACTCCCATTCGTCACTGTCGGAAGAGGAATGTTTGGATTCAGAATAGAATGATGATAAATCATCGTCATTATCTTCGTCGTCTGTATTCCAGTTTTCATGAATTCGTTGGAGGTTTTGGAGGTTGACCTCTTCCTCAGCATCCTCTTCTTCCAGGATCGGTACTCCGTCGGCTTCATCTGTGGTGACAGTGGGCCATTTGTTTTGTAAGAATTCGGGTTCGAGCTCAGGGTTGAATGCAGGGTGCCAGTTCTGGGCTGCCAAATCCATTTGTTGTGAAGAAATGGAAGAGGGATAAGAGTCTTGTTGGGTATCTGAATGTCTTGGGTTAGAGCACTGGGACGAGTAGACTGTTTCAATATCGGTGACACAAGGAGTGTCCGGTTCATGGTACACGACACTATGGTTGGCAGGTATCTTGTTATCGATCCCGACTGTCCTTCCTCTTTTATCGATTTCCC